GCCTCTGACAGTCTCTCATGGTAACTGGGGAGAGGAGATAGGGAAACAGGTGACAAGAACAAAGCTGTCAGAATTAAGTGTGCAGGAGGAGTTGCTCCTGCTTCCTGAGACCCTCACACTTTTCTGTCAGTAATTTAAATAAGAAGAAATTCTGACCAAGTTGTGAGTAACAGAAAGCTGGGAAGGAGGAACACAGAGAAGTAAGGAAGTCCCAAAGAGCTTCCTAGAGGCCAGAGTTGAGAGCTGAGTCTAACTAATGATAGTAATAACAGAGAAACATGGTAGCATCTGCTGAACACATGTGACATGTACCCCCCTAGGCTCTTTATGTGTACCATCTCAGTCTTTATTAACCCTCAAAAGTAGGCACTGTTACTGTCTTCACCAAGCATGCAGGAGAGCTGAGAGTGAGAGATGCTACTTGCTCAAAAGGAGCCATACTTTCAAGTTAGTTTGGATCTTGGGTGCTGAATTAAGGTTCCAAGAGTCAAAGGCATTACCACTGCAGTGATAGGGTGCAGTTTCGGTGTCACTGGATTTGAGATATGCCCTAGGCATTGCTAGAGCATACTTTCAGGTATGTCTGGGTAGGTCATATAGGTGTTGTCATAGGATTTATGTCTGGCCCCTCAACCCTTCTGCTGTGGCACTGTTCCCCTCTTCTGATATCTGGCTGCCATAAACTAAACAACTTTGCTTTGCCACACCCCTTTGGCATGATATTTTTTACTTTGAGTCACATGACCATGGACAGAAACTGTGAGGCAAGTTAAACTTCTCCTTCTTTAAATTGTGGGTATCAGGTATTGTGTCAGCAACACAAAGGCTGACTAGTGTATGAAATTGGTGTTAGGAGTGGGGTTGTTGCTATGATTATACCTCACTATGTAGTTTACAAGCCTTTGGAACTGGTTTGTGGAAGTTTGGAAAGATTTGGAAATGTCAGCTACAGACACCTTCACATGCCTGAACAACTTCATGGGTAGATGATTCTAGCCAGAGCTCAAGAGACCAGAATACTGACAGTAAAGGCCAGGATCAGGAAGTTTCAGTTGAAAACAAGGACTCCATTGGCAGGTAGATTACAAGCCATGTATCACACTCTTATAAGAAATTTGTCTGCAATTTGTCTATGTCTTGAGACTATGCACAAAACTGAGATTAAGGGCACTGGATAATTTTTAAAGGAGATTTTAAGGCAATTTAACATTTAGGCTGTGGCAGGGGCACTATGGGGTTGTTTTAGCCAGATTTATAATGAGAACTGTGGGCAAAAGGCTAAGTAAAATAATTCTGAAAACTAGAATTTTTTTTGCGGAACTGGGGATTGAACTCAGGCCCTTGCTTATTCTACTAAGCTATCTCCCCGGTCCCAAAAAACATAAATTTTGGCCTAGGAAGAACCATGTATAAAGTTGTGGCCAGAGGAGGTGTGGCTAAAAAAAAAGTGGTTAGTGTCATTACAAAGAAAGTACTTTATAGGGACAAGAAAAGGTGCTTTGAGGATACCTTAAGAAGCAGCAAGACCTCAGCCAATGCAAGGTCAGGGTGCAAAGGTTTAAACCTTGAGAAAACAGTCCCTGAGATGCCTGCTTGACAAGAGCCTCCTGGGGAATGGAATCCCTGAGAGTCATTTCACTATACTCAGCCATCTAGGTACCCAGAGGCTGCTGCAGTCACGATCCAAAGGGAATCAGCCACTGCTCGAGCTGGCAGGTCAATCCTGGTGTTTGTTCATGTGAAACTGGTTTTACTGACACGCAGAATGCAAGAGTTGTGGGGTCAGGAAAGCTTCTACCCATATTTCAGGAGAAGAACTGGAAGGTCAGGGAAGGAGCTCTGAGAGGGCAGTAAGTGAAGCTGTGAGACTGAAGTGCAGTGGAGACCCTAGAAAGTCAGTGATGACAGAAACGTGGAACGAGGAAATAAACGTGATGAGGGAAGCCGGAGTCTAAAGCAGAGCCAAAAGAGGCCAAAACACTTCAATAAGCAAGACTAATAAGGGCAGGGCTGCCAAAGCCTTCCAGAACTGCTATCTCATCCCCATGTGTTCCAGGTGCCAGATATGGAGGTACAGACTTAATGTCGATCCTAATGTGTTTTGGTCTTTCTTTGGTCTGATTCTTTTCTGTCCCCCTATTGTCCCTTTTGGAATAGGAATGTGTACCCTTTGCCACTGGTGGTGAACCTATGGCATGTATATTACTGTGTTTTTCTTTTAAGACAAAAGATGTTAATATACAGTTGTTTTTTTCTAAACTAAAATTCAGTATTCAGGTTTAATTGAAGTATTGGCACTTTGTAGTAAATAAGTGTGTTTTGAGTTACAGTTTGAGCACTTCATCTTTAAAAGGTTTACCATCATTGTCCTATTGTACCTTGGGGTTATGTAATCTGATTTTGATTTTTACAGAGCTTCAGAGCTAAGAAGGTGCTCTGAGTCTCAGAAGAGACTTGGACTTTTGAAAAATGCCAGAACTATTGAGATCTAGAAGTGACTATTATATTTCTGGTTGTATGGGGGAGAGCTATATTATGTTAGGTCAAATTATGAACTTGCTATTGTTTTCTTTTGGAGATTAAGTCTGGTTTAAGGAGATATGTTTGGGTGTGAAGTTGACAAGGTGTGAATTATGACTATTAATCCTGACAGGGACTAAGACGTCTGGTTTTAAGTATTATATATGGTCCTCACCCATTCTTCTCTGCACTGTTGTCAACCACCATGAAGTCAGCACCTTTGCCCTGTCTGCCATGATGGTCCTGTTTTGGAGCCAGTGTGGTGTGGGCCCAATCTCCTCAAACCATCAGCTAAGTTACACATCTTCTTTAAGTGGTGAGTGCTGAGTATCATGCACCAGCAATGAAAATCTCGACAAGTATAAGTTCTAAAGGGGAGAAATTAGCTCAATGCCAAAATAAGACGAAGTCCACATGCTCTCTACTGACCATGATCTTAAGGGAAGGCCAAGGTTATTTTCAGGTATCTGAAGGGGTATCACATTGAGTAGCAGGAATTTATTTTGTGTTTTCTCTGTTGCACAGCTAAACAGGGTGGAAGTTAAAAGTGATATATTTGTTGTGAGAAGAAATTTTTAAACAGTTGGAACTGAACTTCCATTGTCCATTATTAGCTGAAGTCAATTTGCAATAAAGCCCAAAAAACATGGTTTTAGGGGTTCAGTTATTCTGTGCCACAAAACAGCAAATCTAAGAAGAAAAATATCATGTCTGAGGATCAGATGATCAAATAATCAACTGACTGTCCCCAAGGCTCAGTGTAAAACTGTCAGGTAATAGATTAAGAATCACCATAGAAAGATTTGACAGGTAGTTGCAAAGCAAACCCTAATGAAGTGGATTTTCTACATTTTGTTATGAAACAATTATTTATTAAGGTCTTTCTATATGTCAAGTATGACTTAAAAGGAATGTAAGCTCCTAGATAGATAGACTAAAAAAATAGCCAATATTTTGGCCCTAGCCCTTCAAGGTCAGTGAGGACTCAAGATATAAGAGAACCTCTGCTTGAACATCCTGTAACTAAGTGATGTGCCAAATTTTCTGATCAAGGAGATTATGGGGCCATAGAGGAAAGTGATTGACGATGTAGAGTATGCATAAGGAGATTCATCTAGAGAGAAAACATTCTCTCAGGCTTTTACAGAGAGCAAATTGGTCAAGCAATTCTCATGACTCATCCAGATGGCTGACACTGACAAAAGATCCACAAGGTGCGGTACATGGTTCCAGTGTACATCCTGAGGGGATTTGGCTGACCTTGTCAGATAGCAAAAGTTACATTTTCAGTTATATAGGTCTTGCTTTAACTTGGTCTTAGCCATCCAGCAGAAAAGTATAACCACAAGGTATGAAAAGTAAAGCTATATTAATATGCTGAGCTGTAAAAGGCTGAAGTCAGCAACTTCAGACAATTGTATGTATATAGAAGATAGTTAGGATATACAGCTACTTTCTCTTAGTTCATTGAGAAGAAAGGTTTGTACTAATATTGTTTAGACAAGATGTCATGTCTGCATTTTTTCCTCTAAATAACTAATATGAAGACAATAATATGCAAATGTATTAATTATTATAACTGTCCTACTAACCTGTTTTGCAACTGTTTCATTGTTATTTTATCTATTTTCTCATTAAAATGAATAAAAATTAAATTTAATTCAATTCAGAAAAAAAAAAGTTGGAACTGAGCACCCAGATGGTAGACTCAAGGTAATTTAGCAAAGGTGATGAGCTGTCTGACTAGGACAACACACATAAAAGTTCTCTGCGACCTACAGGACTTTCTAGAACTAAGATGAACTCTTATTTGTTATATCAGGTGAGAAAGCAGTACATGGTTCTTCTCAAAAGTACCACCCATTCCAATCCCTGTACAACCTCCCTTTCAACATGGATTGCTCTGGCATTCTGAACCATATACTGGGGCGGAAACTTTTAGAGAAAGTGGAATGCAGGTCACTCAAGTCAGGTGGTTCAAAGTAATATTTGATTTTGGCATGTGTTTTTGAATGTACACTCCACAGTGAACACAGGCAGACGTATCACGAAGGTAGGAATTTCACGATAACATTATCCCTGGCACACTGACCTCTGTTATGTAAACAGTGATCTGTTTCTATGGAAAATGGTCCAATGAAATTCCTCTTGCTTTTTATAGCCATTATTTATGCAGCACACACTGCTCTTTCTGCTCCAGCATTTAACTTGGGTGGGCGAGGCCACAACCAATATATGGTTCTGTGGCAGGGAGGATGAGGCAAAAAGGAACTGCCTTCTGCTTGGTATAATGGACCCAGGCAGGAAGTGGACAGGAGGAAGGCCAAGCTTCTTGTTCTTGAGGTGTCCACTTGGTCCAAACAGGAGACTTATGGGGCTCGTTGGGGCTGGAAAGTACACCTATTCTAGCCCTGGGGTTCATCTTCTGCACAGCACAGTGTCATACTGCATATATTTGAATTGGATATCAAGCTACTTACCCGCCCTCGCTCTGTGAGAGTTGTCAACATGACAATCAATGACAACTTCTGATCCCAGACGACTTGCCAAAATTGTGCACAGGTATGTGGCAGGGGTCCCTGAGCGGCAATATACTTATTCATAAGGCTAGCAGCAGGAATTTCCATCTGGTAAGAGATTGGTAAAGTATTAGAATCTGTGACTGCCACAAGATAGACAAGGGCCTGCTCTTAGAAAATGTTCTTGCTAACTAACATCAAACCAGAGAAATATTTATAATTCACAATGAATGAGAAAAATCAAAGAAAAACGAATTTCTAAAAACCTTTGTGAGGGCCAGGGAGATAGCTCAGTGGCTTAAGCACCTGCCTGGCAAGTGCAACGTCCTTAGTTTGATCCCCAATACAGAAAAAAGAAAAAAGAAAAACCCTTGTGAAAGATTTCACAATACCAGCATTAGGATCTTTTTTGTTTGTTTGTTTGTTTTTGGAACTGGGGATTCAATGCAAGCTCTTGTGCTTGCCAGGGAAGTGCTTATTACACTGAGCCATCTCCCTGGTCCCAGCATTAGGATCTTTAAGATTAAACTGTATGATACTTGGTAGGAAAAACCCAGAAATATCCCTTTAATATGACAGAACTTAAAAGTCTGTGATTGCTCTATCCTAAATACAATCAGTATCAATCGCCTGCATTTTCAGCAATACACAGCAATTGCCACCTCAAGTCTTTCCTATCAGTACTGTCTATCAAAGTCTGTTCACTATTTTTTATTTGCTTTTTAAATAATTTTTTGGGATGTACTTCATATGCCATTAAATTAAGTAGGGATTATTTTATGTAAAGCATAAACAACACAGAATTATATCAACTTTAGTCGCATTTTGCTTTTGCACGGTGTATCGAGTTGGTCTATCTTGACATCAAATGTTGAAATGTTTTAAAGTGACATTTCTTTCATTCTATTCCATTTTCACCTTTTGCCCTCTGGGCTAAGTCCTGCCTGTGAAAGAATGCTCTCTGAGCTTCAAGTGGCATTGTGGCACTGCGGCCCAGTGTTCCGAGGTGGAGAAGGAACATGAAGGATCCCAATTCAAGGTTTGGCTAGTGGTTAGGTTAATGGCTTCCTTGATCCAGTGTTACACTTAAAGATCAGACTTCTGTAGGGTTGCTGCCTCGCCACTTCTGACTGTTGAAGTGAGGCGCCACGTATCCCGCCTCATAGATGTTTTGGAATAAGAGGAATCATTGAGCAGATCATTTTGTAGGGCAGTTCTTGATATTTCGGTATAACTTGAGATGAAACTAGAAGTCATGTTTATTTAGATCAGGGTTTGGTAGGCTGTGGCCTGAGGGCTCATCTGCCTGTCACCTTGCAAACTAAGAGTAGTTTCCAACACTTCTAAATGGTTACATTTTAAAGCAAGGACAAACATTTATGATAAGGCCCTCTACAGAACTAGTTTGCTGACCTGAGGTTTGGATGACACTGAAATTCATAGACCTGAAGTTCATATGCATTTTCAGAGACAAAAAAAAAAAAAAAAAAAATCTTTTCATCCAATGTGTAACCTCTTTTTTCTTTTTTAGATTACATATGCAGGGGCAGTCTTATTTTTCTTAGTTTTAGGCAAGCTGGCATTAGTTACATAGGAAAAGCCACAGGAGGACCCAAACTCAAACGCCCCAATGGCAGCAGTCCAGTATGAAAGCATGAGGACAGTGATATCGGAAACACAGGATACACTGCAGTCCCTCTGCCCTTAGTGTGCCGGCTGCCCAAATTATTCAATCTCTCTGAACCTTAGTCTCCCCCTCTGTAAGATCACACTCTCCTCCCTCACGTGACTGTCTAGCCCAGATGCACAAGGGAACAGCAGAGCACTCAGTCCGTGACAAAGCCCCACCGCTGCCGTTCAGGCCCTCCTTACAGCGATGAACATACTCTTTCGTATGCTCAGATTCTTAACTTACATTCACATAACTTGCATTAATATAATCTTCATGTCCCTGCAGTAATACCCGGGTGGTGTCATCTGCAGGAGAGAGGAGAATTTACTGATGCTTCCGAGCATTATTATTAGCCCACCAAGTAAACAAGGGTTCAGTTCCCAGCCCCATCTGGAGCTCGCGCCTCATTAGCATCAACACTGTTCCCCAACTGTTCAGCCTGAAATGGCTGCAGCAGAGACGCTGCTGTTTACAGACACACTGAAGATCGTTCCAGAATACCAGGCAATCTGTTTTAAAAAGGGAAACACTATCTCAGAGCAGGGGGAAGGAGCATTTGTGTGAGACACTCACAAGGCAGCACGTCTTTATAGCGGTTCTTGTCCAGGTTTTGGGGCAGCTTCGCACAGGTGATGGCCAAGCCTGGCTTCTTTTTGTAGAGTTGCTGTAGGATCAACAGAGAAGTTAAAAAAAAAATCATTTGCAAAACCAGCTAAGAAGGTAGCGTGAAGGAATACTTTTAGTGGTAAAGTTTACCTCACATGGTACTAAAATCTTAACACTTTAAAGTAACTCTGTGTTACACCTTAAAAAACAATCTTCCCCAAAACAAATTCTACAATTCTAGGAGAAACCAGCTAAGTTCTTTATAATTTAAAAAAAAAAAATTAAGGATTTTGAGGGGGAAAAAAGCTAAAGCAGGTGTGAATCACTGATAATGGATCCTGGTAAGTAAAACCTTATCTTTAAGACAATTACTCGACAAATGCTAAAAGCATCTAAAGGAGAAAAAACAATTGTCTTGAAATTAAATGGAAATCACCTATTTAAATTAGTCTGAATATTCCATTTGCCTCTGATTTGATGCAGTGAACCATAGCTTCTGCTCAGGAGTAAGAGCATTTCATTCATCCTTTCAGTAGTACATATCTAAGTGAAAACATTTACCCCAACACAGCAAGGTTCTTTTAAAGAGCTGTTGCCCCATATATGCTATCAGTAACCAAAAATTCAAAACAAGCGATCTTCGCCTATCTACAGACTTGTTACAGTCCCTGCCAGGATTCTTCCCAGAGCTGTGAGGGAGGTATTGCCCTATTCTTATTTGCAAGTGACAGCCCAAGGTTAAATGCTTTGCACAGGATCACAGACAGGAGCATGAATTCAGCTCAGCTCTCAGCTGCCAAGGCGCATATTTTGCTTTTTTACAGTTGTTTCTTCTATTTTGATAGCTAGAGCTAAGTCTCTTCACTGGTGGTTCTTATAAGCTCTCTGGGAATTTAAAAGCAACCTTTTTTAAAAAAATTTTTTTGTAATATTTTTCTTTTGTAGAAAATTTGGGAAATTCACACAGAAAAAAAATTATAAGTAATTTCATAATTCTGAGAGAACCTTTTCATCTGTTCTCCAGCTTTTCTGTATATTCATGCATACAAATGCACAAATATATATGTACGTGTATAATACATGTATACACTACATGTTAAAAAACAAAAACTGAGACTGAATTATGTATTGGCATTTTTCAACCTACATTCTATGGAAAGTAAGTGCCTTAAAAAAAAGTACTCTTCAAAAAATGTTTCAAAGGCAAAGAAATGTGGCAAATTTTTACCTTAAGTTCTATGTACCTCCAACAAGACAAGCCCTACACTGCATCAACTTGATTGATCAGCTACATATTTCTCAAGCCACTCTGGCCATCAGCATCTCATAAGAACCTTCTAGAGACTGAGCGCCAACCTGCAGTGCAAACCCCACTTATTTATAGCAAAATACCAACACTGCAATTAAATCTGAATGCTGAGATTTTAGTTTAGAAAAAACAACTCTACACTAACATCTTTTGTCTTAAAACACAGTAACAGAAGCGTGCCATAGGTTTGCCACCACTGTGCTAAGCTGTACATCTAGGGCTCAAACTGATGATCCTCCTGCTTCAACCTCCAAGCGAGCTGGGATTACAGGCACATACCCCCAGGCCTAGCTTAGTGATACTGTATCTTTTACATTTACTGAACATTTTGAATTTGTAGCCCCTCCAAGAGCTCGGGTACTGACCTGTGCCGTGTTACTTCCTAACGGTCCAGGAGCTGCTAACCAACTTTCTAAGCACCGGCAGCCTTTAATGGACTCTGACTTCATTCTAGAAATAAACTCATGATTTACTTGAGGCTTTGATTTGACTCTGGCAGACATCTGAGCCAGCCACATTTATCTAAATGGCATTTTAGTCCTAACTGCATGGAGGTACAATCCATTTAAGTGAGTATAGCTTATAAATCCAACCTGGAAGAAGATATATTTTATTAAATAGCTAAAGTATAAGTGCAATCAACTTGAAGTCTATCAGACAAGTGTAGATCTAGCAGGAGGCTTTAATTAGCCATAAGATTTTAAATGCATCTCAGTAGTAATGATCTATTGATAGGATTATACAGTCCTAAAAGAAATTTACTATGTCACTATTCAAAAAATTTTAAATGTGCTCTCTCTGGGTTTCATCTAAATACAAAATGAATCATGTCAGAAAAGTTTATCTGTAGCAAGATATTTATTTACAGAAAAACAGATCCAGTCCAATAGTCCCCGATAAGGAAAAGTGTTAACACAAATATGGTACAGCCATACTACAAAGTTCTATCTATGCAAAGAATAAAGAAGAATAAAAACAGACTTCTAAGTATATAAACTGCATGTTAACGAACAGCACACACGATGGTGGTCCCACCAGCACCTGTAGTACGCAGCGTGTGTGTATGGCCAGACCTCTGCGCATGTGTGCACCCATGTGTGCTGCACATACTACATATATTTGGAGGAGTGCCGAAAAAAGTACGAAGGCGACCCACCAAAGTGTTGTTTGTGACTATGAAGAAGAAACTGAACAGGATGGTGGTCAGGAGATTACTACTTTTATTTTGACTACTTCTGTGTTATTTGAATTATGACAACGACTATTTTTAAAATTCAACTAACAAGTGAGAAAAAGGAATACCACAAAATAAATATATCTAAAACTTATGACGTGCAAACATTTCGGGAAAGCTGGGTGAACACATCTCAGGCTTTGCAGCCTTCAGGAGGCGCGATGCATCCTCTCTGTAAGGCTTACTGCTAAGCAGGGCTGCGGTACCCTGCGGGAACGGGATCCAAGGATTTCGCCTCTGAAGAGTTAAGGGCTGGCTCTGCACGTCCCCCACAGCAGCCACACATCCCCAGTGTGGGGCTGCCTTGCTGGGGGACGGAGGGGGGCAGCTGGGCCATCTTGGGAGGGTCAGGGGCAGAGGAGAATGAGCCAAGGCTTGCTGATATTGGCTAGAATTGGATACAAAGCTCTTAAAGGAACTATTCACTGGAAAAATACAATTTGCTTTCATTATTCCCAGGTAGCAGGTGTGAGAGGCAGACAGGGGCTCTTGGTCACAGATCCCTAAGCCCTGTCTGAGGACAGGGGCAGCTAGGGGGCTGTAAGGCAGCATTAGAGATGAAGGGTTTCAAAACCACTTAGTCTTCTATAAAGTTTTATGTCCTAAAATGCATTGATCTGATCCTGCCCCAGCATCATTCCAAGAAGCTCTGAAACTAAGGGTAAATTATCAAAAGCATGGCTGAGAGGCGTTGCTAAGGAACAGCAGTATTTAAATTACAGCATCAATATCTCTAGCTCTGGCCTTAAAGACACAAACTGAAGTAAAGGAGCTGTGGCTCTGCAGGGCGGCATGGGGGGAACAGACTGAGAACTGTGGATTTTGAGTTCAAATGTTTGTTCTCTGGCATCAAGGAGAAGCATGGGGAAGACGTGCAGGCGCCCCCACGCCTCCCCTCAGCCCAAGTGGTGCAATCTTGTCATCACATCCTTTGGCGAGGGTTTCAAACTCACAACCAACCCCAAGCTGAGGCTGCTGGCAAGGCCGGGCACAGGAAAGAAAGTGCTCCCAGGCACCTCCAAGGCTGAGGCCCCGGAAAGAAGAAAAGAGAGGAGAGGAAGGGAATTGAGGGGCCATGGGTAAAGAGAGCACAAGCAGGAAACAGAATCCATTTCATGCCCTCACCAATAACCAGGTTCAGCTTCAGGCAGTGGCCTTTCTTTTTTGGTTCAGGGGACTTAATCTAGGTCCTCTGTGTGGAACCATGTCCTCAGCACTTCACATTTTCTTTTCTCTTTTTCTTTCTTTCTCCAGGTATCCTTAAGTTGCTAAATTGCCCCCATTGGGCTTTGAGTTGTGCCCTTCCTGCCTGGAAGCTGCTACCTTGACACAGGCCCAAAATCAACAGAGGAAGGTGACCATGAGCCAAGATCAATTCTCCCTCTTTTTAAGTTGATTATCTCAGGCATTTTGTCACAGCGATGGGAAGCTGACTAATGCAGATTTCAACATGCTATCTCAACATATAGCCTGAGATGCACATTCTGCTGCTGTCCTGTATTCCAGCAAGCCTTCCCACACACATACAGAGGGGAAGCATATCTTTTGAGGGAGTGCCGAGCACTGAAAATGTGCAGGCTGCCTGAAGGGTCATCTAAAGGCCTCAGTGTGCCCCATGTATTTCAGACACACAGGACTGGTAGTTTTCCTCCTTAAAAGAAAAAGAAAGAAAGAAAGAAAGAAAGAAAGAAAGAAAAGAAAAGAAAAGAAAAGAAAAGAAAAGAAAAGAAAAGAAAAGAAAAGAAAAGAGGTACTTGTAAAACTTCTTAAAATGTACTCTTTTTAGGGATGGATTTTACTCCTGAAGGTACAACTGCCCTCACTAATTTTGACATGTGTCAACTAAAGCCTCTCCTGGTTTTCTGTGATTCTCTGTAATGACCACAGGAGCCAGGGAGTCTCTGGGCCCTGACAGACAGCTGCAGTAATGGCAATGCAGGAGTCAGGTAAATAAGAACAGGAGTCAAGCATGGCAGCAGATGGCTTCTCGCCTGACAGAGATGGAGAATGCTGAAGTGGAGGGCAGGGGTGCGTGAGATGGATATGACCTTCGGTGATCTCCTTGGCTACTGCTTTAATCCCTCATTCCAGGATGGTGGACGCCTTGTCATAGTCTTCATTTTCTATCAAATGAATTCCATACATCTCCAAAGATGCTTTAACAAAGAGCAGACGCAAAATTGTATATCACTTGGTCACTGGATGGGCACAGACACGAGAGTCTTTTGTTTGCTAGGAAGCTAGTTCTCCAGTTCTGCACAGGACAGCATAACAGCTTAGCTCTTAATTCTGAACCAAGTGCCTGCCTTTCACCTTGCTTAAATAGGAGCCTGGACTCAGGCGGAGCATGGGCTAAGCACACATTTGTCTCCGGGAAGAACAAACTATGGCTGCATGGATGTAATTCTCAGGGGAGGAGAGTGACCTGGAGGTACAGTGGACTTGGGTTCAGCATGGCTCCAAGTTTGCTCCTTTACATGAGAGGAAGAAAAAAAGTCCACAATTTGGCTAAACAATGTACAGGATTCAGGTGGTTTGCGGCCAATCACAAATGACGCCAAACTGCTCACGGTCACTACAGAGGGAGCGGCCACACTGGAGGCTGGATGGAGTTAGTGGCAATGGCAATGGCAAGCTAATGCCAGGGGACTTGGTGCGTATCTGTGCATTTCAGCCAGGTCTCCCTATGTTGCCCACACTGGTCTCAAACTCTAGGATCACGAAACCCTCTTTTTGCCTTGGCCTCCCAAGTACAGACTATAAGCACATGCACCAAGGCTGGCTAGATTTTTACATATAGACTTTAGTTCTGGTTCTATGTTTGACTAAATCTGTGACTATAAGTTTCTTAACCTCTTCGAGCTTAATGTTTTCCACTTATAAAAGAGTGATATTGGCAGGAGGGGAATAGCTTACTGGTAAAATATGCATCTAGCATAGAGAGGCCCTGGATCCAACCTACAGGATAAAAACCAAAAAGAAAAACAAAACAAAAACAAAAAACCAAAAAACAAAAAAAACAAACCAACAACAAAAAAAACAAAACAAACAAACAAAAAAAACCCCTAAAATCTCTGGCTCAGCTGAGACAACATATGCGAAACACACTTGGTAGACTCCAAAGTGCTCTAGAAATGCTAATTATTATTAAGCGTGATTTCATTGTAACTAGAACCAAATGTTTTCTGGAATGCATTTGTATTTGTTTACAAAACAGCCAAGAGGGAATTCCCTTAATAAAAAAGTGGGTCAGGACAAGCCCTATAGGAAGCCAGCTTCCATCCTAGAAGGAGCTCTGTCTATAGTCTGCTGCCCCCAGGGCAGGCACTCTGCGTCATGGAATGGGCGATGTGGGCACCTGCTGGCGACCAGCCTCTTCTTTCTGCTGCTGTCCACAGCACCCCCTCTAACAGCAATCTGTCCACCTCCCACTGACACTGGAGAAGGGGGTCCAAGAAGCCAGATGGGCCAGGACCATGGAGTTAGACAGCCCCAGGTTTCAAGCCCGGAGCTCTGTGAGCACCTCTTGTACAGACTGGCCATGCTCTTCTGCTTCTGGGAATCTCTCTTTGTTTCTAGCTAATGATGACTATTACTTTTAATGGCATGATTTCCATGTACCGGGTATTATATAAATATTTATCACATCCACCCCTTACACATCAACCCACATCAAGACACCCAGTGCACAGGAAGTGCGGTCACAGAGGCTAAGGAACAGATGTCAGGACTTAAAGCCTCTCTGGTTCCATGTATCTAGGCAGCCTCTAGATCTATGCTAGCTCTGATGTTTTACTACTATTCCGAAATAATGGCCTCCATAGGCTAACAGTAGGTCCTACTTTCTAAACGCTAGGTGATAGTTAAGAGAATACGTACTTAAGTTAGCTCCCTAGGTTCCAATCTCTCTGCCTTTTACTATGAGGCCTTGGAGAAATCACTTGACCTTTTTGAGACCCTATTCCTTCATCTCTATAAGAAGGACAATGACAGCAGCTATATGGGACCATGTAAGGATAACGGAGGATGATGCTCTTTATAGCCCGTGGCACACAGTATCTGCTCACTGAAAGGTTCTTTTCTAGAGGTGTTCCATCTGCCCAGGTCTCCTCTGCATTCCTCTACCTAGCAGTGGTGGGAGATACTATCCGCTTTGGAACAGTGGAGTCCTTGCGATGCTCTACTTAGCCTTGGGCTCCCTGGGCAGCAGAGAAGGATGACTGGAGAAGCTAGGCTCTGGAGATCCCACCAGCACCACCACAGAGCAGATCTTCTCTTACCTGCTCAGTATTCTAAAATTCTACTGAAGACATTACTTAAAAAGTAGAATTTCCTATTTGATTTCTTGGAAATGCATATGAGCTAAATGAAAAAAAAGGTACATTCTCAATTTCATCCCCAAAATGTGTACATTCTCCACTTCTTTCTTGTGATTTCACCTGACTATGATCTCCAAAGATAATGCTTTCGAAGGGCACCAGGGCGACAACGCTTCCGGTACAATTTCTTCCCTCTTGTCCTCTGCATCTGCTTGTGGATCACAATCTTAGGTGATTTTGTTAAAAGTACCGATCAGGCAGCTGTGGCCTGGCCCCAGTTTGACAAGCTCCCTGGAGATTTCCATGGAAGTGGTCAGGGATAAGTCTTGGGGAAATACTTCCAAACCCAGAGGAAAATAGGTCTTTCTTAAAATCTTTTAAAATTTCTATAAAATGTTGAAATCACTTCAGAGAAAATTTTACAAGGGGTTCCTATGCATAAAAACATGCCAACGTTGGGCACCTTGGTGAAGGTGGCTTTATGGCATACTGCTCAAGACCAACCTCTGAGGAGGGTTTTTTCTCAAGTAGAGTCCACAGCGCCTCCTTGTGGACAACTGGAGCAATCCTTCCTGGGTTGATGGCCTTCCCTCTTTTGGAGCTGGCTCCCATGATTCCTTGCTGTACAGGACACCTCAGCTAGGTGACCTGACACACTATGAGGTCTTCATTCAGGATGTGACCTTTCTAGGAACCTTCCCATCCTTTTTATTCAGGGGGATGGATTTGATCCCAGGCATCCTTTTGATTCCCACATCTCACTCACCCCAGAGGAGTGCCTCGAATCTCCTCACATCTAGCTGCTGTGGCACTTACACTCTATGTAATAAAATCACTCCCTATCCTGGCCTACAGTTGTTTCTAGGACTGAAAGTATATCTTTCCCAATATACCAAAATTAAACCATAAGTTTCTGCAGTCAGAGACTCTCTTCTCTTTTCATTATGTTCCCAACCCAACATCAGGCGAGTGGTGAGGACCGCAGACACATGGCTGGGCTGAATGACCAATGACGGGATGAGCCCACGTGCATTTCTTCCTGCACATCTTTCCCAAACCAAAACAAGGATGAGGCCAACCTCTGCTGCGATCGGAATACAAGTTCTTCCTTGTCTCAATTATTTTTGAAGAGTGCACCAAATTTTGTCGGCATGGGTCAAAACGTATCTTTTGTTTTATATTATCTTTCAAGGTGGTTAATTAAAAGCTGAAACCCCTTATTGCTTTTGTGGGGAGAGAGGGATCGGCTACTTTTTGTCTTTTTACCCACGGCATTCTGCTTTCTACTGTTCAGCACGTACTGCTCTATTACATCTTTACACTCTGTGCCTAACACCACTGTAAAATAAAGCTTTCACTCCAAGCTTCCTGCTTTGTGCTTTAGTTTGATATTCATAGCTCACGATTTCTTGAATCATCCCGTAGTAACATACATTTGACAAACGTTTTGCTTCTCCTTCTTCCTTTTGCTCATTTATATGGCTTGCTAATAGATGATGTGCTGCTGACTGGGGGGCGGGGGAGTGTATCTCCTGAGACTCTTGTCCTTAATTTATGAACCCAGACTACGTGCTGCGAATCACGATCTTGTTTCTTTTATGGGCCTATCTGATGCTCCTTTGTGCTTTTGCTCGTACTCTTTTATTGCCCAAACTACTCTGCTGTCTTCAATCTTGAAATACATTTGAAAGATAAACACGTTCTACCTTCATCGTTAGTGGCCCTTCTGCTCCTCTCTGGTTCTGTAAAAGGTCTTGGGTGACTCTCTGTCAATAGTCTCTCAGCCCTTTTGTGGGCTAGACCCCTCCTGAGAAGATGGGCTCTGACTTTGTCTCCAGTGGTTCTGGAGAACTTGGGAGGGAAAGGTACTGCACCCTTGTGGGTGACAGCAACTGCTTCAATTCCTGGTCTCCCAGGGTGGGGGTGCGAGCTGGCTCCTGCACATCTCTTGGGTAGATCTCCCACAATGCCTCTCTGCTATGTTCACCTGGAGTTTTGAGGGTTTGTGTTGGCAGCTCAAATTGCTGAGCCCCTCCTCCTCAATTTCTGATGTCTCTCCATGACTACGAGGTTATTACAGTAAGGGGGTGAGACAGAGTTCAGCGTTGGGCGGTGGTCCCGATCTTCTCTTGCTGTGCTCTCTTGCTGCCCTGATGCTCTGAGCCTAAAAAGGGGCCCCTTTGGCTGTACCCCACAAAGAGCATATGCCTCGCTGGGGAGGCTGTGTGAGACTTTATTTTTTATTTTAGGGAAGTGTCTACAGGGTGTTCAGGGTCTCACTATTAGATAGGACTCTTTGTGATCTGCCTGTTTACAGCCTCCCCAAGAGCTGGGATTACAGGCACACGCCACCACCCCCAGTCTCAATTGCTGTCTCAGCGCACCCTGGAGGCAGGGCTGGCACATCAGGCCTGGGGATCAAACCCCTGGCCCCTGCACCTGCTTGCAGGCACTTTAATCTGCTGAGCTATTTGGCTGGCTCTTGCTGTGTGAGACTTTAATGAAAAACTAAGAGCTCATGTCTCTGCTTTGCCCTGCAGTACTCGGTCACAGCAAGGAAGACCGCCATGTATGCAGCAGTAGCCAGGGTCAGCCCCCAGCTCCCCTTACCTCAAACTGGATCAGCACTGTCCCACTCTCGAGGCCCTTCTTTAGCAGCTCCATGGATCCCTCCAAAGTGCTCCCGCCCTCTGCACACATGGGGAAAATGGCCTCTGGGAAAAGCTGGCTCAGTTCATCTTCAGATCTGATTTCGGCAAACGAGTGGACAGCTGGAACGAAGAAGACAGGGCGTCTGGCTCACCCCCGGGGCTGATCGATTTCCCTCCAAAACTTACCTGCAGCACTGGGGGCAGACAGCTTATAACATCTTATTAAATGATTAGCACAGGGCGGTCATTTCACTGAGACACCACTTCTAGGTGAATGATTCAGTATGTGGTAATTATAGAAAACAACATACTAATCTTTCTGGTTAGTTTTAAATGATAGTGTTTAGTACACACAGGCCTTCTGACAAGGAAAGGAAAAAAGGAAATGGAGTGTTGTAAAAGGCAGTGTCTGCACATTCTCTCTGGCCTGGTTATTTCCCCCCAGTCCCCATAACCTGCTCCTCCTTCTTAGGCTCTTTTCACTTCCTCACTTAAAATGGGCATCTTCCCAGGCCCCAGGAAATGGACCACGCTGTCACTGTGACCCATCATTCTCGAGCACCCAGGACCTTAGCTCAAGTCCACTTCTATGTGGGAGGCCCCCGCGTAAGTATCTGCAGGCCTAACGGTCCTTCTGTGCTTCAGCTTTACTTCTGTAAGTCCAAATTAGCGCCACATCAAGCTTAACAGGGGAAAAAATTCGTGTACCACACTTCTGTTTGTCTGTATCTACTTCTTTAGTCCTTCTCAAACTGGAAACCTTAGCGATCATTTCCTAACTTTCTGGTGGAAATGGAAGTCACTCCCTCACTCAAAAGCTTTTTTTTTTTTTGGTACCAAAGATCAAACTCGGGATCTTGCGCTTGCCAAGCAGTCGCTGACGCTGCTCAGCTATCTCCCCAGCCTCAAAAGCCTGTTTATTGTCCTTTCTTATTTTCGTTAAAATTTTTTTTCAGACATACAGACTCTATGTCCTTTTAAAATTTTCTACTAAACTATTAAAATAGTCACCAGAAAAAAATTACAACCTATTTTTTAATATTTAATTATAAAAATTAAATATTCCCCCCAAAAAGCCTTCAATTGACCAGGTGTGGTGGTACACACCTGCAACCTCAGCACTGAGGGAGGAGGGGGCAGACTTACTGCAAGTCTGGACCCGCTTGAACAACTTAGGGAGATCCTGCCAGATGGATAGATGGATAGATAGACAGACAGACAGACAGACAGACAGACACACACACACACACACACACACACACACACAGACTTTTTGGGGTCATCGTCTGTCTCTCTCTCCCTCTCTCTTTCTCTTTCTCATACACACACACACACACACACACACACACACACACACACACCCCTACCTTCCATGGCTCCCTACTAATCTTTAAAATAACAGGAAAAGAGAACAACAATGTTTGGGTTTCCCCACAGAGCTGAACCAAACCCTCACAATTCTGAACGTCACTGTTCTTTCCATTTCACAGATGATGAAGTAGAACCTCAGAAAGGATAAATCATTTGTCCAAAGCAACTCAGCCTGTCAGAGCAGGACACGGGACCTCCTGGCGGCAGGCAACAGTCATGGCCCTCTGACCCTGAGGGCCACATTCTTCTCACTGATGCCAGCAGCGCAGCTGTTCGTGCACCCTGTGATTTCTGCCCTACCTATGCTCACGACTCAATGTCAGTGTAGCATTTTTCTTGTATCAATTCATATTTTTTTTCAATTTATATTTTTTACATACACACTTATGTTACAATAAACTTATTATTATAGTTACTAACAACTGGTGGCCTGGCTGTTTAGCTTTCATTGTTTTCTCACATCTTTCCTCACTCCCAAAAGGCTCTGCTCCTTGCCCAGGCCTTCTGGAGGCCTTTCCTGCCGCTCTGGGCACCCAGCACATGGCAGCACACATCTCTCAGGCGATGGGGCCTGTTCTTACTTTCAACTGTTCTGAGGCCTATAACTGTGGCCTTACTAGTCACAGGGCGGTGAGCAGCTTCCTTCACCTCTGTGACTTGGTTTCCCCCATTCCCTGCTTAGGATGAGAACACTCCTCTCAGAGGAGTTGTATTGAAGATGACCATGGAGCGCCACTGGCCCAGAGTGAGGCCTTCCCTAGCCTGTCCCACACAGTGTTGCTGCTACCATGACTCAACGCCTATTGTGTTCCCAGCACATTGCTGGGGTTGGTGTGATAAGGCGGTGCAAGGGGATGGCAGCGCCCCACAGGACCCCTAAGTCCTCATGGAAGTGTGGTGAGGGAGCCCCTAAGGCCTCAGGGAGGAGGGGGTGTTGTATCTACGTGAGCCTGGCTGGGCAGGACTGAGAGCTCTCGGGGGAGCAGAGAACAAGGGCTATGAGCCGTGTCTACACGTGGGGCCAGGGCTCTGTGGTCACATCCTTCATTTCAATCAGTACTTAAAGCTGTGCAGGGGGCCCAAGGGCAATGGCTTATTACTGCAGACCAGCAACAGGTGCAGTGACAACACTCAACAGGCTCTTCCTTCAAATACCTGCTGCAGTCAAGCTGCGGCCCACGTGCTTTCCAGGTAAGTACCAGTCAGTCTCCATGAGAGTGGTGAGGAGGGCATGATGCTGTCCTCATGCCACGTTTGAGGAAACTGACATGCAGCCTGGGCACACAACTCACTCAAGGGCCCTCGACCTGCAGACATCACCGAGACGCCCACGCTCCGCCTTGCCGGCCTCACTGCCTCCCTGACCGGGACAAACACACAAGAATAACTGAACCTTGCCCTTGGAGAAGAAACAGAGGCAGCTAAGGGTGTGACTGGACTGAGCCTGGCCAGGAGGAATCGAGGTTCTCACCCTATGTAAGAGAACCGTGGGGGCGGGGCAGCCTCTCTCCAGAGAACTTGACACAGGGGGTCAGCCCCCATCCCTGGCAGGCACATCTTCAAGTTTTCCTAGTGAGAAGCCAGTCATTCTGGTTATTATGTGAAAATCCTTTCAGTGTTGGCTCTAGATACAACACTTTCAGAAGCACAGCATGGGGTAAAGAAGGTCCTGCTTTGCCAGGGCAGCATGCCGGGGCTCCTCCTCCTGAGGGGGGCTGTTACCTTTCCTCCGGATCACCAGGGCCAGCTCCCTTGAGTGGGACTCCCGGCTGGCTTTGATGAACATCACCACCTGGTCATGGGTGTGTTCTGAGATGTCCCGGCCATTGATCAGCACAATCTGATCCCCTTCGTTCAGCTTAGGAATGCAGGTATCAGCCTGGAGGAGGGAAGCAGGTTCTCTGTTACCATAGCATCACTCTCAAGGGAATAACACCGAGCTCTCCGATGCGGGCCCTTGAGACTGTGACCGAGTTGATTGTCCCTCCCGCAGGGATCGCTGTCATGGTTTTTACATACACTGCTACATGGACGGGGCTGTGGGTCGTGGCAGTTTGAAGACATGCTGCCCAGAATGTAAATTACAGAATATCTCCTAACGAGAGAGCTGCTGAAGCTGCGCCTCCTTGGGAGCCACCCTCGGCTTCCTCTCCTAACGATGGTGAGATGCCAGTTGTTTGTTTTCTGGACGTACTGCTAGAAAATGATTTTTCAGCTGCTAGTAAGTATGTATGTGGCTTACAGCAGAGAAAGGAAGCCTTTGTCAGCAGAAGCTGTTATGGCGCTGAGTGAGGAACCGTGTAAGAACGAAAGCTTCCTTAATCCTCACAAATCATAAGCAGCGACAAAATATACACAACGCGCTTATGGACTACTTAAGAGCAAACCTCCAAGTAGTACCTCATGGAAGGCACAGCAGCTCTCTCATGCTTGACTGTTCTGAAAAAGCAGATACTCAGAGGTAACTGGAAGGTAATAGATCTGTTTGACCCTCGACATTGTTTCACTATGGATAAGCACATTGGGCTGAACCCCTTAAATACATACAATTAAGAAAACAAAGCCAATGAACTCTTTAGGATGCCTGGGCAAAGCTGGGGCAGGCCTGGCGGGGAGAGGGTAGGAAGGGAGACCAAGACCATGATTCTACTTCAAAGGTGCAGAAGCATAAACCTGGTGCCTCAGTTTCCCTCCCTCCACTAGTACTTCTCAAAATTTAATATGCACAAAAAAACACCTAAGTTACCAGTGCAGATACTGGCTCAGCAGCTTGTGCCAGGGCCTGAGGGTCTGCATGTTTAACTTGGTCTCATGCAATGCAGGCGTCGCAGCCCGCAGGACCATGCTGAACACCAAGGTTCTACAGAACACGAGCTACGTTCCTTTTCTCCATCTACATCTATTTATACACATTCTTCCCTGTTGTAAAGACAGAGAGAACAAGAGATAAAAGAAGGGTGGAGAGGAAGGGAAGGGGGTGGAACAGAGGAGAAGAGTACAGAGGAAAGAACACGGAGAGGGGAGGGAGAAGAAGTGGCCCATGGAAAGCGAAACCTGGTGGATTTATGGGAACGCCAGCATGGGCAGCAACCCGGAACACATGTACTCACAGGCGACTCTGGGTTTATCCTTGAGACTACAAGAGGCATCTTCTGATCCACTCCTCCCTGTAATGTTTTAAAGTGAAAAGACACTTGAGTTATTCACAGCAAGAAAAGATAGGCTGATACCAACAGATGTGAGTCTTCAGGTACAGGGCAGGCCTCAGACTTGGCCCACGCCAGCCACACATTTGTCACCCCTTTCCGCACCACAGGTACTCTACACCTCCGCCACACATGCAGGGTCAATTGGAAGAGCTCCATTCAGATGCCTCCCCTGCCTCCCCAGGTCCACGATGATGAACCAGAGGCTGTGGGCTCTGTGTTACCAAAGCCAGCACCCCTAGAAGAAGGGAACCACAGCTGCTGGGAACGGCAGGTCTCCGTGGAGGTGGTGAGGCCTTGGGAAGGGTCACATGTGTGCAGAGTGAGGGAGCGGAAGGCATAGGGTGGCCAGCAAAAACTGCTTGCTCCCCCCTGGCAGGGAAACCATCTCTGGGAAGAGTCAGGGCAGAGAAATTTTAGGCTTTGTGGGTAAAAGGCTACAGACACGACATCACCAAAACTGGAAAGGGAGGGCATGTGCTGGAGTAAGGGGCTGGTGTCCCTTAATGCACACCTTTGCTTGGGGCGTGCAGCTGCTACCAACTCTCTGAGCCTTGGTATTCATGGGCTTAAAACTACCATTCCCACTGCTGATTTTTACGGGCTCAGTGAGACAGACAAATCTAGCACACGGCGAATGTCAGGCTCTAAGCAGGTGCTTAGTATGAGGCAGTTGCTGTGGCCATGTCAAAAGCTCCCACTTCAGAGGGCTAGGCTGGTCTCCTCATGAAGCTGAGGTATGCAGTATGCTTCTATAGAAAATTAAAAACTCACCTGAAGATCGCTCCCCAGCATAAAACCTCCTTGTACACATAGACAGCCTACCTTAAGGTTAAATCCAAATTTTCCATCTTCATCTGGCGTAATGCGGATCAAAACTAAGTAGCTGTCCCCATTATCATTCTGGAAAACATTGGAAAGTGGTGGCTGACATCATTTCCCTCTCCAGTGCTCGGTGATCGCTTGTTTGGGTCATGATTACTGAGCTGCCTGCCCACAGGGTGGTTCCCCTGGCCACTTCCATGTGGTGTGGTCTGAGCCCACTGACCTTGTCACAGTAGTACTGGCCGGTGTCCTCGGTGGAGCCCCCTTTGGTTACCCTGTGATAGTCCTCTAAGAATTGCTGGTCGACCCCATCTGGTGAGCAGGAGCCTGGAGCATTTGAAGATGGAGACACAGAACTGGATGACTTCTGGGTCAGGCAGCCCTGTGCTGGGTTGTTCTCAGATAAACTCCTTCAGTGTGGGGGAAGGAAGAGATATTTTAATAATTGGATTCAAGTTATCAGAACAGACACTGCTGAGTGCTGGGGTTTTTACTAACCCCTGGAGCTGGAGCAGACCTACAAAGGTCAACTGGGGAGCTCAAGCACACTCAAGAGTTCAAGAAACACCCCTGCCCTGTCTGGCCTAAACATTAACCCATTTCCGTTTGGGACAAAGGGACCACAGGAGGGTAGGGGGAACCCATGAGCTGCTGGAAACTCAGTTCCCTCTCATCTGCTTTAGAACACTGATGAGGAACTGGGCCCAGCTACTCAGGTGGTTTAATTATTTTAGAGCAGAAGTTGTGCTATGTTGCCCAGGCTAATCCCAAACAACCCTCCTGCCTCAGCCTTCCTAGTACTGAGACTACAGGTGTGCACCACTATGCCTGGCTCTGGTGGTTTAAATGTTGAACCAGATGGTCAGCAAGGTCACGTCCCCATCTCTTCTGGAAACTTTCCTTCCATCTTACTCCTGCTGCTAGCTCTGCTCCACGGGACTCTGGGCTATCCTAAGGAGAAACTGCTTCATATTCAGGATAATTTTCACCTCTCCAACTTCATATCATCCCCTTGAGCTATCCATGAGTTGTCCACACTGAGATCATGTGCTTCTACTTTTCTCCATTTAATGTAGGTCCTTCTGTACCTGAGGGCTATGCTGTCCAATATGGCAGCCACCAGTCACATGTGAAAGTCAGTTCCTAGTACTAGCCACAGTTCACACACACAGTGGTCATGTGTGGCTGGGGGCTGCTGTACTGGCCCCACTGTCTCACAATTTCTATGGGGCACCCCTACCCCAAGTTATAGCCAGTGAGACCCCGCAGAAAGCGTGGTTGCCTGCTCGAACTCCCACCTCACAGATGAAGGCTGAGGGGGCTGAGCAACACGCCCAGCACCACACAGCTGTTCCCTCCTCTAGGAGACAGCAGCCTGACACGTTGGTTGCAAGCATTTCTTTCCTCTCCAGGCCATGCCAAGTCTGCTCCTGAGACACTCTGGCCATGCCTCACAGAGCCACGGATCCACCGCCCCTTTCACCATCACACATAGCCCGCAGGATGCCGAGCTTCTCCCACGTGCCTGCACCAGCCCCTTCAGAGCCATGAGGAGTGAGCAGGTGTCTTAAAAAAACCCATGAATATGGGTTCTTCCCACATTCTATAGACCTTGCTACCTCCTAGTACCATACAAAGTGGAGACAGGAAGTGAGCAGAAACAAAATAGGTAAGACAGAGGAGGCAGCAGCTTTACCTTTCATACATGGATTTTAAATATTTTAGTTTTAGGTGCTTCTGTTTCAAGTTTTACTGTGGGGGTGGGGATGGGGTGGGAGGTGGCTGGGGAGGGACGGAACCTGGGGCCCTGTGTGTGCTAGGCAAGTGGTTTACCCTGGGTCACACCTTCAGCCCCAGTTCTACAGTTAATAAGTCACCACCAAATGGTGGAAAGGGAAACTGCTGAAGCCAAAGTGTTTAGGAAATGTCACTTCCAGGTCTAGTGAGGGATTTGAACCTTTTATCGGAAGAAGTTGCAACAGTGTGCACACACTTCAAATGTCTGGATAAGCCAAGAGCGTGCGTGGCAGTGGTGGAGAGCCGTGGCAAGCAAAGACCATAACAGCCAGGTGAACTATGCTTATTTAATTAATCTATCAATCTATTTATCTATCTATGTTCCTCTTTCTTTCCCATTTATGTATTTGGTACAGGGTCTTACGATGCAGCTTGGACTCTGAGTGATCATCCTGCTTTCAGCCTCCCCAGCACTGGGATTACAGGTGTGCACCACTATGCCCGGCCCTTGGCTGGCTCAGCACGCTGAGGTGCAGGGCCAGTGTGGCCTATGGTGCTGAAGATCGAACCTGGGTCCCTGCACTTGCCTAAGCAGGCACTTAGTCCACTAAGCTATCTCACTGGCCTGCTTATTTAATTTTTAAGCTGGGTTTCAAAGTATTTTTCTATGGGTGTGGACTGTATTATACGATTTTTTTTTTTTTTTTTTTTTTACAGAATTGCCTTTCTAAAACAGCTTACAATGTCAAATGATAACTGATACTGCTACTACTATATTGGTACTACTAAAGTATTCAAAGTCATCCTATGTCTCAACCTGTCTTCTATGTAGGTTTTGAGAAGCTACTTTTAGAGAGTAATTTATTTTCACAAATGGCTGATTTGTGGCCTGAGCACCCGTGTACAGAGGTTGTCTGCAGGGCGTGGAGACATTCGGCTCATTGTGTAGCATGGATGGACAGATGGACGAGGGGCCGCACAATGAATGACACAAATGACAGGTGGCAGCTGAAGGGAGCACTGGCCTGCCAGGAGTGGAGATGTCAACACAACAGGCTCCCCCACCACTTGCAGGACTCGAGGTGAACTGGGGTGGGGCAAGTGGGGAAGCAGGAGAAGGACCGCCCTGAGGACTGGGTTTCACAGGGGTGACTATGAAGACGGGAAGGAGGGATGCGATGAGGGACAGAAGATGACTTCATGGTGGGGTAGAGCTGATGTCTGGGGAGAGCAACAGAAGCAAGAATTTGTCCCCAAGGCAGGAAGAAGATGCCAAGGACTGTCACCATCCTCTAGGAATCAGAGCAGACAGTATGTAATAGCCTATGCCCCCATTCCGGGGAGGAAGGGACAGAGACACAACAGACATCAGATGCTTCAGCACTGTAGATGCAAATGGCATCAGAAACAAACACTGTACATGAATTCACTTCTCTAGAAAGAAACAACAATAAAGAAATGAAAAACAACACATTTTCTCATGAAAAGGAGATGCTCTCCTAAAAAGGGTGGTTGATGCAGATGCAAGCAAAGCTGTACTGAAACAATGGCTACCCTCACGCAGACTCAAGGTGGCATGAGGCAGGCATGAAGATGAGGGCCAAGGCCGGGCCAGGCCAGGCTCTGGGTGTCTGTGAGATATTTGCTTGCATGCAAGGGAGCAAGGGCAAATGAAGGTCATCAAGGTTCAAGGGAAATGAACACACCCACAATGCAGGAACCCCTGCTCCTGGCTGGTGCCCTCCCAGGAGACCCTTGGATGGTATACACACCCTCTCCTGCTGTGCCCCCCTCTGCTGAGGGGTTGATGCGAATCCAAGAAATGAAAGCAAAGACAGCAGAGGGCAAGATGGCTAAGGAAGCTGAGATTAACTCAGAGAACCATAGCCAGGTCTCTTACAGAACTGGACAGAGATGCCATGCATGTTGGTTCAGGGGCTCAGGACAGGAAGCTCTATGCTCTCTTGGAGATGTCCAACAGTTTGAGAAGACCATTTGGTCTCAGTAGCCCTGGTGGACTGGTTCTAGCATCACAACCCCCTGTCCTCATGCCTAAATCCAGGATGCTTAAGACAAAATGGCACAGTATTTGCAATAACCTACACACCCCTCCTAGATGCAGTCATCTCCAGGTGACCTGTGATACCTAATACAACATAAATGCTCTGTATATACCTGTTATACTGTTCCCTCTTCCCTGCATGGAAGATGTATCCCAGGGCTACCTCAGTGAGCTATACCTCAGCCCTTTTCTATTTTCATTTTGAGACAAACTCTCACTAAGTTGTCCAGGCTGGGCCCAACTGCCTCATTATACTGTACTGTTTAGGGAAAGGCAAGAAAAAAATAGCCCACACATGCTCAGTACTGATGCAGCAACCATCACAGACCTGACTATATTTCTGATGTGTGGGTGGATCTGTGACACTGGACCGGTGGATGGAGAGCCAACAACTCAACCACCGGAGTGTTCAACACCGCATGTGGCAGGATGATCTCTCTCAGTGCTGTGCTCCTCAGGCCTGGGAACCTGGGCGACAAGGCCAAGGGAATTCCTGCGCTGTCAGTATGACTGAAAAAGGGTCTTTCTAAGGTCTCTTCCAGCAGACCTGAAAATATAGCTCTGAAATATAAAGGGACAGCTGCCCCACATCTTGTGGAAAAGCCGGGCTCCATGGAGGAGGCAAACAGTAAGGAAGCTACAGGTGACGGCAACAATACTGACTAGTGTTCAGGCGGGTGACCTGTCAAAACAATTCGGACACTAAAATAACTAAGACTCTTTTGAATGCAACCCTAAAGGGCTCTAAGCTTTGCTCTGCCAGTGCCTTCTGCTCTGGGAGCCAGTTTTTCTTCTTGAAGCGCTTCTCTTTTGTATCTGGTGGGTGGTGGTGGTGGTGGGGGTTTGTTTTCTTGTTTCTCTGAAGAAAACTGACTTCTCTGCAGAACTTGGTTTCCCCCTGAAAGCGAGGCAAGGAGCCCTGAAAGGCTGATAGAGCGATGGGAATAACAAAAGTGCACAGCCTACTTGGGCACAAAGCATGCTGCCGAGGCTTCAAAACTATAATCATAAACTTGCAGTGCTGCTGTAAATATGGAACAAACCGGGTGACTCATCTGCCAGAATAATGTGCAGACAGCCGGAGCCGTGCCGCTCTGGGTGGAGAGCCAAAGGCTAACCACTCTTTTCTCTCTTTCTTCTTCGTTTTCAAGTGAGTACAGAACATTACACTTAATTCTTCATCTTAAAAGGAACCCTCCTCGCTGTCTGTGATATTATTCATCTGATTTCTCTGACAGAATGCTTCTTTTTTGCCTTTTAGCTCAAATCTGCTACAGAAAACATGTCACACTTTTTCTTAAACATTTTGCAAATACTCACTGAAGTTCCAGAGGCAAGTCTTTCTCACCACGTACAGACCAGCCGGTACCTCTTGCCTGGAGTAGCACTGGGGCTCTAGGTACTCAGGGGGGGCAGAGGCCTCGATGCCCTAAGAGAAAGAGGCTTTCTACCTGCAGGAAGGGGTCCCCCACCTCCCTGAGGGTGTCTGGGTGCTATTCACTAACCTCGAGTTTCACTTGCAGATTACAGCCCCTGACTCGATTCCCCAAGGGGCTTATTGTCAGTGCAAGGGGCAAAACCTCCACAAAGGAGGCTTGTCCTTGCATCACCATTGTGTGCTACTTTTAACAGCTGCAAAATAAAGTCATGCTTCAGGAAGACATTTTACATGGGCTCATGGAGAAGTTTCAAAGAGGATCAACACGGACTGTGTAGGGCAAGCAGGACTCAAAATCACTGAAGCCAACAAGGCCTGAGGACATAGGCTCTCAATATTACTTTATTTTCCTCAGCTTAGATGTAAAGAGCCCTATGTGAGTGCTGGCTCCTATGATGTGCTGCAGAGTTCCAGATGAGCTACCATTCCTCATGGCTGAAGGAAAAGGGGGAAAGACTGCTGTGGGGCACACCATCAGGCCTCTCTGCAACCCCAGGCAGGTCTTCAGACTTTTCTTCCTTTGACCAAAGCAACAGGGCCCCACCCTGTGAAGAAGACGAAGGCTGCTCAGGTGCCACTGGTCTGGCTGGCCTGGAAGAGCCTGAACATAAAGCCCGCCTGCCTGTTTCCATGTTCTCTCCTCCATGGCCAGCAAAGGGTGTAAAAAGTGAGCTGTCAGACTGAGGGATGATGGAGCCACCAAGAGTTCCTGTGTCACCGAACTAAGGCACAGTTCCCTGGCTGACGCTGACTGCCTGCTGATACCTCAGAGAGTGCTGGGCCATTAGGGCTCATGGAGGCTGCCAACCCATCTCTGGGACCACTGCCATGGCCAAACAGTTGGGTAAGAGGTGGAGGACTTCCACTGCAATTCACGTGACAGTCCCCTCCTTACACTTGGCTTTTGGGAAGTGCCCTTTCTTTATCTTGGAAACGGACATCCCTTTCAATGAATAAGAGAACTCCTCAGGCTAGGTGAGTGTTGTCAGTGCACTTTCTGCATTGATGGGAATGGGCTGCATATCTGCTGCCTGATGTGGTGGCCACCAACTGTGGCTTGACGGAGCTCTTAAAATGAGGCACGTGTGGCTGAAGAATGGGATGCTTATGTTTTGACTGATGTTTTTGGCTTAAATCTGCACAGCCATCCATGGTGGTCTGCGCTGGGTCTATAAACCATGAAGGAGACTCTGAGCCATGTGTGTGTGCTTCCCCGAGCCTTTGGGAGGCTCCCTAAATCCTCCTGTCCTTTTCCTGAAGTGATAGAGCCAGAGTCTGTGGCAGTCTCAAACTGGCCTGTACTTCAGCATTTCACCTTCTGGTCTGCAAAGCCACAGGGTTACCCAAAGGAACTCACACCCATCCACTGTAGCCTCCTCCACGGGGCAGCAGGCTACAAGCAGAGGTGTGAGAGTGTGACCATTTCAACAAAAGCACTGTCAACAAGGGTCACAAGGAAATAATGACCCTAGGGATTAGTGAGCCAGAAGCGCTAAGAACACAGATAAGCTGAAGACTGTGTCTTCCGTGGGCAGGGACAGAGCAGCGGCAGCATTGACACACGCAACGGAAGGGAGGAGTCACTAGTGAGCACCTAGCAGGGCAGGACACAATTAATGCTTTAAGCCAAGAGCTGCAGCAGGAAACATATACAGACTAAAGCATCGCTTGCTAATCCTGTGCTGGTGCGGGAGGAATGACATTTCCAGATTTTGGCCACAGTCTGGGATTTAACAGAATGGTTACCCAGTGACTAGGGTTGGCTTAATAGTTTATCTTTTCATATCACATGTCACCTTAAAATGTCACACACTTTATGATCTATGTCTTGTTTCCTTCAAAAAATGATTTGAGATTGCCTACTCTGGACACGTCTTTGGTTTCTGAAATGTCTGAACAACGAAGGAAAGGAGGAAAGTGAGATGACTAAGGGCTGGGCTGAGAGAACTGAATGCACCCATGGGGCTCAGCAGGTAGCTCCACCCCTTGGCAGTCAAGCTGCAGGGGGGATGGGTAACCCAGTCTTCTAGCAGAGATTCATTTTTTTCCTGGCATTAACCAAGGAAGAGAATTTGTCCGAGTAAGAAAAGGAGACAGGGACACAGAAAGATTTAGAAGAAACTGTCCTTGACTGACAAAGATCAGACAAGGGAGGAAGATAAGGAAGGGTCTAGCTTGCCTTTTTCTCTATATTACTAATTAAAAACAAAGAGAGAGAAAAAGGAGGGATACAAGGAAAGCCAACATTTTGGCCCTAGCCTTCTAAGGTCAATTAAGACTCAGGACATATGAGAACTTGTACTGTAACGTCATGTACCTCGGTAGTGTCCCAAATTTTCTGATCAAGAAGATTATGGGGCCAAAGAGGAAAGTGATCAATGATGTAGAGTGGGCCTAAGGAGAGTCACATGGGGAGAAGACACTCTCTCAGGCTTTCACAGAGCACATTGGCCAAGCAATGGCCGTGACTCATCCACAAGGCTGCAATCATAAAGGTTCTACAATCTGAGGTACAGGATCTCAGGACAAATCCTGAGGGCATTTCACTGACCTTCTCAGACCAAAAAGCTACAACTCTTGTTGCATAGGTCCTGCTTTGCCTTGGTCTTAACCATCCAGTAGAAGAGTGTGAAGTCGAAATATAAGAAATAAAGCCATGCTGTTAAGTTGAGCTGTGGGGCACTCAGGTCAATAATTTCTGACATTGCCAGTTAAACAGAAGACCCAATGCTATTATGGGCTACTGGACTCTTTTAGAATATTTTGCTGAGTTTACACACCTATAATATTCAATAACGGAACTTAGAAAAAATGGGGTATACCGATGAATGTCCATTTTGTATCTGTGTATTCAAAGAGGTTGGGATAGATATATAGTTGCATTCTCTTAATGAATAGAATGATTTGTTCTAATGGTGTTTGTAAATAGGATCACAAGTCCGCATCTTAGTGCAATTAACCACTAAGAAGAATATATGCAGTGTATTATTTGTTGAAACTGTACTTCCGATTTGATTTGAAACTGTCTCATTGCTATCTGTTTATCAATAAAACTTTGGAAAAAAAAACAACAACAAAAAAACAAACAAACAAAGAGAAAACCAACACCCTGAGGGCATGTTCTTATTCTGAGAGGTGATCTGAAGCCCAAGAGAGTGCTGGTCATCTAGAGAAATCATAGCTCGCATGGTCCTCATCCTTTCTGTGGTGAGACAGAAAACTGGGCTTTGCTCGTGCCCTGGAGAGACTATCCAAGAGGTGGTGGGTACATGCAGAGGTCTCCACCACAGCGCAGACAAGGAGTGTAAGCCAGGCCCCAGGCGCACAGGGTCTCCTGTGTGGACAGGCAGTCTGACTGATGCCCTTATGTACCTTTGGCAGCTGGCTACGGGTACCCGCTCTTGGCTCCCCTCAAAAGGCAATCTGGGCCTCAATGTATTCCTCATCAGCCAAACAGCAGATACACAGAAAGAAAAGAAGCACAGGATTCTTACTCTCGCTGCGGGCTGCGGTTCTGAGAAACTTCGGAATCGCTGTCTTTGGGGGACAGGGAGCCCTTATAGGTGTAAAACACATCTTCAGTCTCTGTAATGTATGTCATCTCGTTTGCGAGGTTATCCGCAGAGGAGTGGCGGGGTTTTCGGATCTCATGCCGGAGCCGAGGACTTCGCCTGGGTGGAGAGAGGTAGGGTGCATAGTGCTGGAAGTGAATTCCTTATGGAATGATCTCACTCTGTCCTGGCCTAAATGTCTTTAGAAAATCAGCATCAGATGGCTTGCTCCTGCACCCGCAGAATACACCCAGGGTCACAGACAGCCCCACCACTCAGCCCAGTGCAGTAGCCCTCTGCACTGCAGTCTCAGCCGTGGAAGTAGGTGGGAAGAGTGGCATATGCCCTTTGGTCAGTGAGTGCCGATTCTGGCCTGAGTTCTGGAGCTTGTGAGATGTAAGCAGGCCTTATTAGAACTTCTAACAATTCTCACCAATTCTCAGAACATTGTGCACAAAAGGTTTAGAAACCAAAGATTTTATCATGTCAAGTCTCGAACCTTATTTTAACTACATTGGTCCGTGTGCACTCCCTGATTCCAGAAGGAATGTTTGCTCTTTTAACTACATCCCTTGGTAAACACGTCATGAGATGGGCATCAGAGTGCCACCCTGTTCTCCAACAGCAGCAGGAGCCAAGTCCTGGTACCCGTCTGGATCCTCATTATGCTTACAGCTCCTGGGAATGAATAAAGGATGCAATGCTCTCGGCCCTGGGGCGGCTCTCTGCAGCAGGTGGCCCTTGGCTCTATTTTTCCTCATAGTTTTTTCATCTTGCTTTTCTTTGTTATTCACTTCTCCTTGGGACTGTCAGGACCTCTGTGACCTGAAATTCCCCTGAACTTGGATAATCAATACTGCTGTGTTCACCAGAGAAGGGAAAAGGCTTTGTGATCCTGCCCAGAGAGGACCTATAATGAGCAGCCAGAGCTCCAGGCTACAAGTGTGGTAATGCCCAAACCTGTCAAGGACAGTTTCTTCTAAATCCTTCCATGTCCCTGTCTCCTTTTCTTATGAGAAATTCTCACTTCTCAAGGCCAGGGGAAAAGTATGTCTCTTCTAAAAGACTGGCTTGAGCCCTTCGGTTGTTCAAAAACAGCTTATCCATTAATTTTTAATTTTTTTTGGCCTGTATCCCATCATTATTTCTCTGGCTCACTGGCATTGCTACCTAAGAGATTTCCAGATAAATGTATAGCATAAATTTACCTCTTTAGGTGATATGCCTGTGTCTTGAACAACAGGAAACAAGTCTATCTATCATGACATGAGTTCTGAGAATGAATACCATCACCACCCCCAGCCAGAGCACCTGGACCCCAGTGGTGGGGTCCAGACCTAGCAGGCCCTGCACAATACCTTCGCTTGCTACCTCTCCCTTAGCTTCTCTTAGTCCTAGTAGATCCTGGCCTGGAACTTAAAGGCCTATCCATCTTGCATCTTTATCCCCCCACCCAAAGTCTACACAGTAGGAAAAAATATGCCATGCTTATCTTTCTGAGTTTGGCTGATTTCACTTAATTTGCTGAACTCTCTAGTGCCATCGATTTCCTTGTAAATGATGTAATTTCGTTCTTACAGCTGAATAATACTGCACTGTGTATATAAATACCTCATCTGTCTTCATTCACATGAAGTGAAGCACCTACGCTAATTCCATATCGTGGCTCTTACGATTTGTGCTGCCATAAACACAGGTATGTAGGTGTCTTTATGGCGTGCTGACTTTAACTCCTTCAGATATGTACTGAAGAGTGGTAGAGCTGGACCATCTAACAGTCCCACTCCTCGTCCTAGCTGAGAAACCTCCAGCCTGATTTCCACAGTGGTTATACCAGTTTTCATTCCCACCAGCAGAACAGAAGGGTTCGTTTTCACCTGCATCCTTGCCAGCTTTACAGCATGTGTGCTTTCTGATGACAGCCATTCTGGTTGGGACGAGACGGAATCTTTGTGTAGTTTTGATTTGCATTTCTCTAATGGCTAAGGTGTTGAACTTTGGCCTCCTGTACCTCCTCAAGAAATGTCTGTTCATCTGTCCATTGATTAATTGGTATGATAATAATTAATAATAACTATTATTAATAATTAATAACTAATAATAACTATTATTGGTCTTAGGGCTACTTTCGCTGCATGGATTCTCCTTCTGTTGATGCCTGACCTTTGTAGAAGCTTTCACAAAACTGGGCTGATGGTTTTGGAGACCATTATAATAAGATAACACTAAAAAAACAATTTACCTGACCCTTTAAAAATACAAGCACTTGTACATTATTAATGTACATTATTAATTGTACATTATTAATATTGTACATTATTAATATGTTATTTATGGTCATTTTTATAACCTGTTTATAGATGGGGAAATGGATATCATGGAGGGAAAGAAACTTGTTGGTTAACAGAGGAGCCAAAAGCTGAGTTCATGACTTTCAGCTAAAATCCTAAGCAGCCACAACCTTCCTTTCCCCCTTTCCCTTCTCTGCCTTTCTCTTCCCCTCTCCCTTCCTCTCCTCTTCTCTCCTCTCTCTACTTCCTCTTCCTTTTTTTCTCCCTCTTTTTCTGTGATGGAGATTAAACCCAGGACCTTACGCATGCAAACCAAGACCTGTGTCACTGAGCTACACCTCCAGGGGCAGGCACGCGCCCTTCCTCCTAAGCTTAAAAGTTGTCAGGCTCTTTTCCTATGTGCATTTGCTACTGTCGCTGAGGGTCACATATGCTGACATCCTTCATATCACATACGTCTATCGGCTTTCCCCAGCATTTGTTCTGTGACATGTTAATAGGAAACACAAGATTAAATAAAGGTACAAATGCTTTCTTACTAAAGGATTTCTCAGAGCATTTACTATGCTGTCATTCGAAGCACATTTCAGCCAGCTACAGTTTCCAAACTTGCTAAGATCAAATACATTTTTAAAAAGAGCATTTCAGGAATATAGCTGATAGGAGGAATGACTGTTAATGTTCCAGCACAGTCAGCTGACAGCAATTAATTATATATTTCAAAGAGTCCATAGAAAGGCTCTGAAATGTTTCCAACACAAAGAAATAATAAATGCTTGAGGTGATGGACACATCCGTTATATTGATCTGATCACTGCATATTACGTACATATAATAGAGCACACACACTGTACTCATAAATGTGTACTATGGCAATTAAATTTTAAAAAATGAAAGAAGAGTGTCTCAGCATTAGACACTATGGAAATGTTGTGCTAGACTTGTACACTTCAGGAAAAGTTACTTCTGCAACAGCCTAAAGTGCACACGTAGACTCTGATTGTAGATCAGGTTTATGTTCAGGAATTTATAACCTGAGTTTGTATTTTTTTAAAAGAGAGTGTGATCTCTTGCTGCAAAAGAGGACTTACCAGTTGGGAGTGATTGGAGGCGACCGGGAAGGCAAGCTCTTGGTTTCTAGATGTTCTACTGATAAGGACCTCCGCATGACGGGGTTCCACACCATGCCTCCAATCAACTTCTTGCAGTATTGGTTATTTACAGACCTGAAAAACCACAGGCAGGCTCACTTTCCACACTCACATGTTCAGCAACAGACCGGGCACACAGGAAACACAGTCTGCCTCTATTCTTTCTCTGACTATGGCTGCTCAACACCTGTATGACACCAACCAGGGTGACAAGGAGCGGAGGAAGACTGGTCTCAACAGAGCCCCTTCTGTCCTGGCTCTTCCACACAGTATTTCTTCTCTTTTGGTGACAACGCTTCTGTGCCTCTGCCACTCAAAGGAACTAAAATGCGTCCAGAGTATCACAAAGCCTTCGCAGACTTGAAATAATGTTAGGTTAGCACAGAAAGTGTACAAGTGACTCCAAGGGATGCTTTACTCACACTGGCAGGAGTACAAGTATTAACCAGTCTTCCAAAACACTCCTCGTCATTTTGGCTGGCAGACACCAGCAGCATAAATCACTGGTAACTCTTGGACACGGACCCTGAGAATATACTTAGAAAGTATACTTTCAGGTCACGTGTTCTCCAAATGTGCTATCCAAAAATCTTCTGAATTGTATCTATACCTAGAGAATTTTTAAAAAATTATTTATTTATTTGGTACAAGATCTCATTAAGCAGCTCAGACTCGTAGTGATCCTCCTGTCTCAGCCTCCCCACTGCTGGGATTAAAGGCACGCAGCATCCACATGGTGGCTATCATGGTGTGCCCAGTGTTCCAGGGCCAGCAGGGCAGCATGCAGTACCAGGGATCAAACTCAGGTCTTTGAGCTTGCCAGGCAGGTGCTTAGACCAACGAGCTATCACCCGAGCCCTATAAAAAGAGGATTTAAGTCTTGGAAATGGACTATCTGAGAAAACGGTCTAAAGCCCATTTTAGGGTGCCACTTTCAACTCTGGCATTTCAAATTTTAAACTACGCTCAAATGTCTTGTGAAAACTTTCCACATACTGCCTTGTGTTCGAAAACCAACCAACCAACCAGAGCAAGGCAGAGCCACAAACAAAACTGGACTCCCTCTGGGATATCAAGAATTAATGTACGATAATAAATGATACTGCCACCATGACCAACATGCTCCTACGGTAGCTCTTGGAGAACTTTTCTGCTGAGGTCACCCTGCATTGGACACCGCACGACTGCTGATTAAGAACACGGGATTAAAACTCGGGGAGCAAGCAGCATGAGTTTAATGCAGCAAATCTCCAAAGCATATATCACAGGTTATTAATAGAGAGTCTGAGAAAGTCTATTGTCCCATAAGCTTGGAAAATACTGACTTAGGAACTTCCATAGGACTCCAATAAGCAAATGTCTCTATAGGTGGGCAAATCACACATAGCCTCTAAGCCTCAGTTTCCTCATCTGTAAAATAAATAGGGGTAAAGATAACTGAAATTCACATTACATGGAAGCTAGTGCCTCCAACTCACTCTTATGCCCCAAGTGACCCCCTGTTGCAAAGATGGCTGGTCATTCACTGACTCCTAACTCACTGGGCTTCACCCTTCTGAGGACAGCGGGGTCTGCCTTTGGTTCTTGGAGCCCTCCGTCTCCCTGGAGGAAATTCAAGTGCTCTGCTGTGGAGCCCAGCTGCAGGCCAGGGGAGCGCAGGTGTGTCAATCACTCCTCCAAAACCCCCGGCAGAGAGAGAGGCTATCTTGGACCCTCCAGACCAGTGCAGTCACCAAATGCATATCAGAAAATTTTGCCCATACGCATAGCGGAAGAGTGATCTGGCCAAGCCCTTCCTGAACTCTTGATCCACAGCATCTTGAAATGCAACAGAGTGGTAGCACTAATTTCCCCTGGCCAGGCATTACCACAGATGACAATTACATGGCAAACTGCACATGCCACAAACCTTGATTTGGGAAACCAGTCATTAAATGACCCCGCTGCCTTAAATGTCTTGAATGTTGCAGTCAAGTGTCTGTTATGTGTTGATGTCTACACAGAACTAGGCCCTAATGAGAGCCTTAGACCTTCATCTGTTCCTCCCGGGGTGGCAAATCACAGAAGGCCAACACAGAAGAGGGGCAGAGAGGATGAAGTTCTAGAATGTTTCAGGGGAAGCTAGCCCAGGAACAGTGTTCCACTTGTGTCAGGTGGAATGAAAACATGGGGCAGACTTGAGCCAGACTCTTCACTTACTAGTCCCCACCTCTGTGAGTGCCCTTGTGCTGCTGTTGCACTGATCTGTTGTGGAGCTGATGGGGAGGGAACCCAGTCCTTGCCACCACAGACACAGAATGTCTTGGGGGACCACCAGAGCCTCTGAGCGTTCTGCAATCTGTGCACCTTATTTGACCACACTCCAAAATTCCATTTTTATTTTAACCCTTGATTCTGCTTTGTGTACATAATCAAAATATCTATATCTATATATTTTTAATCATCTACATGTAAATGAAGCAATAGAATTCTAACATTAAGGCCAAAAAATGAGGTATATGTTTAGGGTTTGTGTTTCTTAAAGGTAAATACAGGTATTGTTCTTGATTCTTAACTTTTATTAAAAATTGTGGGCTTTAAAACCTAATGAAACCTATTAGCTACTCTCTGTGCCATATATTTGCCAGATTACCAAAATACTCCAACTCTTTAGCCAAAAGAAAAGTCTGACCACCTGAGTTTTCATGGTCCTCTCTGTACGAGGTTAAAATGTAATCTTCTGGACAAGTGTGCTTTACATTAAGACATGGAACAGGATTCCTTAGTTAGGCTCATGGGCTACAATCTGACATGATGTTATCACATCTCTAGCCAGGTTTTGAGTTGGAGGTAACTGAGAATTCCTAATGATGGTAATGCTCCGTCTTCCATTTGCTGTGGAATCCTATGTGTTGGTCTATGGTTTCACACACTAGCTTTTCATAAACAGTTATTTGTATACTAATAAGAAACACCACCTGTCATGGTTGATGGTTAGTGGGGAAGCTCCTTTGACATGGTACAGTTTTGATGTCTTTGAGGACATGAGGATGCCCCGGTGACACTGACTTGTCATGGTAACAGCATTTGAATATTGGGTGTAAAAAAGAAATCTGTAAGTCTATAACTTGAAAGTGTTTTACAACCTTGTATTCTAAAGATGGCTTTCTAATAAAATCCAGAAACATGCAGCCCTATGGTCAAAAAAAAAGAGTGGTAGCACTTTAAGCCATTGCAGTTCACCTGCTACGGCGCTAGAGATGACTGCAACCCAGCCTCCTGCCCTGGCTGCACAGAAGGAAGGTCTGTAGATGAGGAACTTCAAGCGACAGAGGAAGGGTTTGAGCCTGAGCCCTGGAGGGCCGCTTGGATCTGGCCTAGGGGAACAGCTCCGACCTCAGGCAAGACTACAGAAACCTACTTGGAAGAAAACTGCTCCATTTTAATTAATTCACAAGCAAGAACCTCACTACAAGTGCTTTAAGGAGGCTGTACAAACCAATGTGTGCCCAGCCCCCAAATCTATGCTACCTCAGTGACCTTCTATGGCATGAGATCACACCTTTCCACTGCCACTGTGGAGCAAGGAAGCTGTCACTAGGAGAAAGAAGGGTCATTACTGGTTTTATGCATAGACTTTAAATTATATTTTTATATTAAAGTAAAATGGTCAACAGAGCCAACTTTTCAGGTCTTTAATCTGAACTTCTTGATTAGAAAAAAATCACCTGACAGTCTGCACTACCTCAGCACCTCATTGTCCCCCTCACAGGGCTATCACCCTGGATATGGGTACACTCCAAAAACTGTTTCATCTCTTAGAAGCATGCGCCTCAAGCTGTCATCACTGCTGCGCTAGCTGGGTTTCCTGGGTCTCTGCGTAAGTGATGTCAGGCCTTGAAGGCTCAGCGTCATGACCTAGTGCCTGCAAGAGCCCGTAGGCCACCGACTCACCAACTGCAGCGGCTGCCACCTAGGCCATCACGCCTGCTTGCCAGGACGCAGCAGCCGGTGAGGCCACTGCCGATGGTGGGGCTGCTGCTGGCGCTGGCTTGGGCACAGCTCCCCTCTAAGGGGCTGCGTGGGGCTTGGGCCTGCGGGTGCCATCATGTGCGTACAGTGCCTCTGTGTCTAAAAATGCCTCCAAAAAATATCCTCGTGATCTATTTAATAATAGCTACTGGACGCAATGAAATACTGGATAGTGTTGTAAGGACGAGAAATTTTAAGAACAGATTTTCTCTTGGTTCATCAGAAGCTGAAAGGGCACATTAGCACCATAAACAGTGTCACTCATGAGAAAAGCAGCTTGCCACTTATTGAATCTGTGAGTTACCTAGTGACTGTCACGGACTAGCAAAGCCATTCCTGCTACAGAGCAGCCTGATGGAGTTTCACACATCAGATAACGCATCAGATTCAAGCCTTTCTAGTAATAGCCACACTGAGGACAACAAATCACAAAACCAGCTATGAAAAATCAACAAATAATTCAGAAATTCTAAGAACTGATCAATTTCTGCTCCTTCATATTCAAAAGGCAGCCTTAGACTAAAGAAACAAAAATATAAACTGCATTGTTACTTATAAACTAAAATCTAAAATCTAAAATTTTACATATGAATTATATATGCAAGTTTATATAAAATCTTTTTATAGTTATAAGTCATTAAATATTCTGAATGTCATTCCTATGGCCAATAGTACTTATAGGGTAGCAGTAAGAAATATAATATAAACTAGTTCAATACAAACTAAGTACTAGGTTGTTGTAAAATATAGTTATCAATATTTTTTAATTATTCCAGGAAATCCATCCCCAAGTCATCTGATCCAGGACACCTTTCTCTCTGCCCCTGTAGAGCACCTCATGGGATTACTGCTCTGTGGGCAAGGCTGGCTCACTGGCACCAGGCTGGGAAGCCCTCATGTTGGCATCAGAGTGACATTCAGAGTCCTTCATGGGATGGGGTGTAGGGGGCAGCTGGGATTCTGTTTGCCAGAGAACTCTAAGGACAGGAGAGTTGAGGCAACAAACCAAAGCTGGAAATGTGAGTTGTACCTAGGGATGGGCAGAAAGAGACACTGCTGCTCTGAGGAGGACTCAGTTTCGGGGAGCCAAAGCCCAGGACCCCTCCTCTGCCAAAGAGGACCACTTGCTGGTGGCAGCCAGGACACACCAGGACACACCAATGTCTCCATTTAGTGTGTCCACCTCCCCTAAAGCATACTCACTTCTTGGGGTTCCTGGAGCCCAGAGTCCAGTACTGAGACAGAACATTCTTTTCTTGAGGTAGTAACTTCTTTGCCTGAAAGAAGGTATGGTGCTCAACACAGGATTTCCACAAATTTTTGCAAGATCGGTAATTTAGCATGTTGAAGGCCACGATATGTTCCCTGGACTCAGGCTGCAAGGAAAAACAACAGTGATTTCACTGCAGAGATCTGGAGAAAGACCGGGCAAGTGCTGCACCCACACTGGTAGCGACGAGGTAAAAGGCAAACGAGAGCAGAAAGCAGGCCTTGACCCTAACCCAGGTGTCAGAAATGTTCCAGACAGGGCTGTTCAGCTCTTCACAAGCACAGTAACAAGACGACTGGAAATACTCCTCCTCCTCATTTGTGGTCCTGTGTGAGCACCCTTGCTTCACATCTGCTTACATCTCGAGGTTGGGTATCAATGGAGTGACATCTAATACGATCCTTTTAAAACTTAGGCCAGAGAACATCTTTCTCCTAGCTTCCAACTACCACACAAGGGCAATGTCATAACCCAGTTTTATCACCCACAGAGCACAGGGTGAAATCTAGTGGGGATATGTAATAAGCATTTTCTTTCAGTCTTCACTTTTTATTAGCTAATGTTTACAGTACATCATGCTGACATTCCTTCCAGGGAGCTGGTCCATGTACACAACAAATCTCATTGTCTTTTCACCCCCTTCCTCTCAATTGCCCCCTACTCCCTCTACTCTGGATCCCCTTCCCATCTGAATAAAGATCTACTTTCCTATTGCCTATTAGCTCCCTTTTACGTTGCTCTGAATCTCTATTTTGTGTTTCTAAAATAAGAAAAACCAGGTAACATTTAAGTGTGTGTCTGATTTCTGTCACTTAACATTACGGTCTCAAGGTATATGGAGGTAGGTATATTCCTCAAAAACTGTAATAAACATTTTAATCACTGGTTTCGCTTTCATTTTGCATGTGTTTAGGTTTTCTGATTTCTTACACATTTTATGCCACTTGGATCCTGCTCTAGGGGAGTCAGGTGACCTAGATTCTAGACCTTGCTTGCTTTGAGTTTTAATGTGCTCATTTCTAAGGGTTCATTGCTATATGGGGTTTCGCTTTTTGGTGGTCGTAGTACTGGTGAATGGACCCCAATCCTCTGCACTGAGCTACATTTCCTAGAGCCTTTTTTACTAACTCTGAGATAGAGTCTTGCTAAGCTGCCAAGACTGGGGTCACATCTGGAATCCTCCTAGCTCAGCCTCCCACAAGGCCAGATATGGACATTTCAAGGACATATAACCATTGCAAAATCGGGAAAGGGACACAGTGATAGTAGGTGACAGACATGCAGCTTAAAACAGTATGGTACACAAAGGGCAGGCTTCCTGGGTTCCTAACGATCAATTCAAATCCCAGCCTGGGCGCCTCCTTAGGCTGGGACAGCGTCACCCTCCTCACTCTAAACCCACCTCTGGGGCTAAACCGAGTCTCAGTGCGGATGACTCCTCTCAGAAGACAGACAAAGGCACTGTGCGTTCAACACATCAAGTGAAAGAGGTGGCCTGCGGACAGTTCTTGCCTGTCCGCATGGGCCCTGCTGTGTGCCCTGACCATACTGCTCCCCTAAGAAGGGGACATTACTGAATTTCTGGCAACAGACACTCAGAGCAGGGGAGGTTATGTGGCAAGCCCATAAGGGGAAGAGCCAGGTACACGTCTCTGAGTCTGAAGCGAGTTCATTTTCTAATCAGAGATGTCTGCCTTATATGGAGTGCTGCAGGACTCTCTACACCCCGGTAACCAGCAGCAGTAACCCCCAAACCACTGTTCTTTTGTTCTCGTTACAGACACCACTGCCTCCAGCCCTCGAAGAACTAGGAGCTGAAGTGAATTCAAAACACAAGAAACAAAGCAAGTGTGGGATGCAACTCACCTGCTTTTGCCTTTGATGTATAAAGAACTTTTTCCTTTTGAAAGAAATCTTGAGGATATTCACCCTGTAAACAATAAAACAGAGCACAAACAAACAACAAACAAAAAATAAACCAAACAAGGAAGAAATCACAGACATCGGGGCTCGGCTTGTGTCCTCTAGTCCACAGTCCTGCTGCCTGTAAGGTCGCGGCTGCCAGGAGACGCTGTCAGCCCCATTGCCCAGCCCACACCGAGGAGCCGGCTGAGCTGGTCTCACACAGGGCCTCTGGACTGAGAGGCAGCCTTTAAATAACAAGAAGCTGGGCCATGAGCTATCTTTGCTGTAAGCTTCCTTTGTGACACTGGCGCCCTGCGGGAGCTGGAGCACACGTGGGGAAGACAGCTGAGGGCAGTGTGGAGCGGCAGGCAGAGGACGGGCCTGGTCGGCACCAGCTCTGGGCTGAAAAGCCACATGCCAAGGAGCCTCTTAATCAAGTGCATCATTGAGAATCAAAGCACAATTCAGGCAGGGTATTTTTATCCACTAAGCCCTGAGGAGGAACTTTCTAAACGTCCTCTCCATACAGTCTTGCAACAACCCTGAAAAGAATGTACTGTTACAGTGCACCTCATTTTCAGATGAGGAAACTGAGGCGCACACTTCTGCTGAGTGCCGGGCTCTGAGCCTGGGGCTCCCCTACCTCCAAAGCCTGCGTTCTCAGCCTTCACTCTGAAGTCTGAACAGTGGAACCACAGTGCCTTTCTGGCAAGGTACTGTCATCTTGTGAGGATCTGAAGGGCTAAGCAGGGCAAGGCCTTGGCACAATGCTTGACCCCTCAGTGCTTGTTCCTTCCACTAAAGTTAGTTCATAAGTTCATTTTTTAAGTCAATCTCATTTATTTACTTCAAAGAAAAGAAAACTGAACACTGAAAACAATGGTATAAGATTTCAAAACAAGACTGTAGCAGAGTACCAATGGTTGGCGCATTGGGTATTATTGTCAGAGTAGTTGCTCATATTACAAGATACAGGCATGCAAAACTGATCCAACAACACAGGCACAAACCTTCCTTGTAATGAGCTAACAGCTATTAGTAGTATAACTATCTTATCTATCTTGGTTTTATACATCATATTTATCTATCTTTCCTATGCCAAGCTACTATAATCCACACAAGAGGGGTGTATTTTCACACTAGATTCTTTTTTATATTTATGGGAAATAAAGGAAGTCCACTGTTCTCCAGGGTCACAGATCTTGGTAGAACATTCTAGAACAGAGAGGGGAAGCTTACTCATGTAACATTTCCCCAGCTCGACCAGATGTAGACAACACCTTTCTCCCTTGCTTCTGGACCCCACAGGGACTCCTGTTTGGCAGAGGTCTGGAGGACCAACTTGGCAGCTTCTGAGTTCTCCTTTTACCTGATTCAACCCATGGGAAGCTGTGCACCTCTTGTGCTCCCATTAGCTTCACATGGGGGATCCCCCAGTAGACTCCAGGATTTGGAGGGCTCCTGCTCCTTGTTCCCTCCTGTCCACAGAGACCCCACTATCTGTATTTTACAGCTTTCCATCCTAGAGCAAACCTGATGAAGTGCAAATATTATCAATGACCTTTTGGGGTTTGACTGCCCTCCACCCTTTCATAAGGAAAGGAACAATAGAGTGTCTCCACTGAGTCCAAGTCCTGTATGAGCCTCTGGATAGATGACAACCAAGCCACTCCTCACATCCACACCACACGCCGGCCTTGACACCTTGCTGTCTTGTCTCTAGTACCCCACACACCACAGAACTCATTCTCTCTAGAATTCTCTCTTGGATCAAAGCCTGTCCTGTTTAGGGTTGACCTCTGTGGGCTCAGCACCCTTCTTCTCGTGTCCTGCCCTTCCTAGGACTTACCCTGCACCTAGCTTAATATCTTATGATCACCGTCCAGTGCTGGCCTCCAATTTGCACCAGAGCCAGGGTCAGACCTGGAGAAGAACCAACTTACAGCGGAAAGCTGAGGGAGAGAGTGGCGAGCCTGCAGGGGAACGTGGTGGCTAATGTTGCCACAGCGCCTATGGGTTTTGCCTGAGAGGTCCCTGTTTATAAACCTTCTCAGGAGCAAGTTTCCCTCTTCCCTTTTAGATGTCCTTATAGGAATCACATCTTCCCTGACATGTCATGGTCCAGGCCAGGGCTGTGGGGAGGCTCAACCACAGAGCTGTGCTGAGTGGTCTCTGGGGGATCCCCCAGCACCCACAGGGGCTTGTGGAGGGAAACGAGCCCTGTGCCCACTGCTTGATCCTGCGAGGCCAAAGCTGCCCAAGCAGACAGCCAAGTTCAGGCTGAGTTTCTTGCTTCTCAAGGGACTTTCAATGATACCAGGGAAAAGAACAAGGGAGAGGGGACCCTATTATCTTTTACACTGATTTTATTCTGAAATGGAATAGGGCTGTGACATGCGCTTACTTCGGAAGAGGGGCTTATTGTAAAATTAATTGAAAACATAGTGCCTCCATGTCCGTATCCTATTTAAGCATTTCCCCACAGATATAAATTTTGGTCATGGAATAAGAGGAGAGGCACCAGAGCTTGACTCTGGGTATGAATTTCAACTGTAACAGTCGTTAGCCCCATAACCTTGCAAGGCGCTTCCTGAGCCCCCTCCAAGACAGGATACTAAAGATGCCCGTTGCAGGGTTAAATGAGAGAAATCAAATAAAATATGCAGCAATGTGACCTAGACACCACAAGCGCACCCTGTCGATGGCTGCCATGATGGTTATTACCTCTGTAATTAAATTTCTTTATTGGGCCTTTTCCTGTCATGAATAAGGCTGCGGTGAACATCTTCACAGCCCAACTCATGGAGTTCCACACCCTAGGCCAAGGCACAGCTGTGGACCTAAGCACCAAACCAGCACAGTATGCGCTGGCATCCGAAGCACCAACCCCTTCACCCTAACATCCTCCCTGGTAGCTACTTCTCCCGACACCTGTACTTCTGTTTCTGCACCTCCTGTGCCTCCAGCACCCATTCTCCTCAGCCTCCCTGGTCAATCTGCCCAATCCGATCCTGCACGGTCATTCTCAAAGGTAGTTTATTTTGGTAGTGTTTCCCTTGAAGAAAGCTCCAATTGCCTGAATAAATTCCAACTTTTCTACAAACCCCAGTTCGACCTGCTAAACGCAGCAGTTGGTCAAACCAAACTAGCTGTCCCAATTACTGAATCTGGATCTAATCCTACTGAGCTGGGCACGATGGGTCATAGCTGTAATCCCAGTACTTGGAAGGCTGAGGCAGGAGGATTGCCATGAGTTCAAGGCCAGCCTGGACTACACTGTGAATTCAAGACCAGCCTGAGCTACATAGCAACACCCTATCTCAAACAACAAAAAGAAGTTAGTAACTTGGACTGGGGGGATTTCTAGGCCTTCTTTAGAAACAAAAATTTAAAATTAGAGCTAACGTTATTCTTGTTCTTATTCTCGGCATATTTTTAAAGCATGATTCAAACAATAATTAGAACTGTTTGCACTCACCAAGGATAGAAACTTGTACAAATGTATTTTCGGTACACAGCAATGCCCGCAGAAGCAATTCCAATCATTAGCTCTAAATTGTGCAGATCCTGTAAAAAGGAAAACATCAGACTCCTGGTGGGAGTCTCACGCCTGTGCCCTTTGGTAACATTAAAGCACCCTTGTTTTTATAAATAGCAGTATGTATAGTTCTAAAGGGGAAAATGTTTTTAACGCAAACAAGTACCTGCACTAACCAGCTACCTAAATCCAAGCACTTCACACCGAATTCTTTTCAAGTGAACATGCACACATGCACACACAAAGCCTGTCGGAACGTGTGGCTTGGAAGGTTGCCGGCTAACCCCAGGCATCCCCCCAAATCATCAAAACAGATACTCAGTTCTAAATGCTCCATATGTAGCATCTGAGAGCTGTATTAAAATCAGAAAGCCCTGCTCCCTGCATAGCTTTGTATAAATCTCAACTCCCACTACTGAAAAGGCTATAGCTACAATGCTATCATGATAAAAAATTCCAACCGGAGAACTGACCCTAAATGAAACTAAGAAGTAAATGCTGTTTATAAATTCAATGTGCCCACATTTACTAAGGGTCCACATGCTGGGCACTGCTGTAGACACTGAAGACACAGAACGAAAGCAAAGATCATAGGCTGTTTTAAATCCACTTAAGTATAAGCAAATAAAATTCAAAAATAAATCAGTTCTTCCTTGAGTCACACACATTTCTCTTTTCCAGCCAGATACGTGCAACTGCAAAGGGACTGAGTTTGAGTTGGTTACCACCACGAGCCTTTGGCCTGCCACCCACAGCTGTGTTGCTTCGGGCCGAAAAGAGACTCAAGTTCTTTCCTTTTGCCCTATAAAGATTCCAGCCTTGAAGAGCTTTTAAGCGGGCTGGAACTAAGAGGATCTGAGAAGCTAGAGCAGAGTTTGGCCTGCGGAGCTTCTAGAACAGGGTCATTCCCTTTGGCTGTGGAACAAAACATGCATGAGGAGCAATATGAGCAAGGGGAGTTAGAGAAGCTGGACAGGGAAACAGTGTTGACGTGGAGGAGTCCACAGAGATTCACGACAGGAACCCAACTGCAGTCATGTGCTTAAGGCAAAGCCAGATCGGCAGAGCGCAGGACAGAGCTGCCTTTAAACATGATACCTGCAGTCACAGTACCAGGAAAGAACAAATCAGCAGATGAAACCAAAACAGGGTGCAGCTGGGAATAAGTGAGTGGTTTCGTGGGCCAAGGACGGGGTCTCGAGTCTCATGAGCCCAAGGTTTTCCAGTGTCCGTGAGACAGCTGATCCTCTGACCCCGGAGGGTCACCTTTCTGTCAGGCTTGAAGGCAGGGAAGACCTAGATCAGCTCGTGCAGATAGGAAGTCTCATTTCACCCCTGAGTAAGGCTCTCTGAAACATTCTACTGGACATTAAGTATTTGCAAATGGAATAAAAGCAGTGAAACCCTGAGGTTGGTTATTTTTGTCTGACTCAATACATTTTTTCTGCTTTGTTACCTAAATTCTAGCACATCCACCCTGCAGCACTGTTAAGGTACTGAAGTGAGGCATGATGACAGGGTTTCTATAAACTGCAGAAGTATCCAGATTTCAAATCTGGACATTTATTCAACTTCCATGAGCCCAATTTTCTCATTTATGAAATGCAGATGATTAGAATATCCATTTGACAAGACTTCGATGGCTTCATGTGAAAGCCTGGTACTTACTGTTCAAATAACGTATGTTTCCTTTTGTGTCTGACATGGGGTCAGTGACAGTGATAGATATTAGTTAATCCTAATAAGCCAGTCACAAACAATTTAGATATTATTTTTCACAATCATGCCACCATTTTTTCTTCCTTTTTTGGTGGTCCTGGGGATCCAACTCTGAGATACTCAATCACTGAGCTGCATCTCCAGCCTTTTTTTAAACTTTAGAGACTTTACTAATTCCCCAGGCTGTCCTGGAAGTCATGACCCTCCTGCCTCAGCTTCTCAAGTAGTTGGAATTGTGTGTGTGTGTGTGTGTGTGTGTGTGTGTGTGTGAATACACCCAGCCAGCACTAATCTTTTTGTTGCTGTTGTTAAACTCCTACTATATGTAAATGGCTAACTCTAACTGGAGCAGTGCTTGAGGTTAAGTAATAAAAACCTTGTCTCACTAAAGTGTTGCTTGAAAAATGGATCTAAATATATCTATTTTGCCTGTTTAGCCATTCAGTGGAACAGCCCTTGAAAAACTTCAAGTTTCTAGACCTTTGACCTCTTTAAAAAAGAAAAAAATCAGGGGCTGGGGAGATGGCTCAGTAGAACAAGCACTTGCCTGGCAAGTGCAAGGGCCTGAGTTCAATTCCCAGTTCTGCAAAAAAGAAAAAAAAAAGTCTTCCAGTACGATGACAAATATGAAAACAGCAATTGGATAAGTGACCAACAAAATTCAGTATTAGTTAAACATTGCAAATATTTTTAAAATGATCTTGTGGTTCATAATGGGAAAGAAATAGTATGACCAAAATTTTTTAAACTTTTATAATTTAAAAGTCAAATTAAAAAAAAAAAACCCTGTGAACTAGAGATTACATACTCTACCACTGTGCAGCTCCACTCCGTAGAAGTCGAGAGTCCGGGCTATGTTGATGTAGCATGATTCGGCTTCTGACTGCTTTAGCCCACTGTAGGAGAAAAGACAAAATGCAAAATACGCCAGTAAATAGGAAATATTAACAACAACTTGCAGATATTAAAAAATAGAATAAGACCACATTCCTCAAAGGTTTCTAAAATGCTGTTACTTTTCTTAAGCAACCTAGCCTGCATTTATTTCAGTTATACAGGGTTCTCTTCTTCCTCTTCAGGGGAGAAGACTATCGCCTTTCACAGCCCCTACGCCACTCGTTCTAAATCACTCAATTAACAGGTAATCTCCAGGGCGTTCTGCTTTTGTCTATTCTTTCTGCAGAGGCGCAAACTTCAAACACTGCTGCCCCTATCCTATTTTAGGACACTGACTTCTGCTAGAGGAGTAATTCTGGGAGAGAGGATTGGCAGGGCCTTCTTAGAAGGTACTGGTCGCTTGCCCTTTGTGTTTATGGCCTTCCCAAAAGGCGAGCGGTCCCGAGGGCTGGCCTCCTGGGTCAGCGTGCACCTCTCTTGACATGAACAGCTGTCATAGTAGCTTTGAGGCAGATGGGAAAGGGAAGGGGAGGCAGGCACTGGGCACGGTTGCTGGAGGTAAGGCTTGCCCAAGACAGCTGCAAAAGAGCGGCCCTCCCCATGTGGAAAAGCAGCTTTCCCCAGCTGAACCTAGCCTTTTGGACTACTCGTCCATTTCTCTGTTTCCTCAGCAATGTCTTAAGGATGGGCCTACTTTACAGAATATGGTCAGCTGCTAAAAATTTTCCCTGGTAGGATCGAAGTGTGGGGCAATCAGATTGCAAAGCTGGCTCTCCCTCAGGAATTAACCAATTCCAACGACAGCCCGAAAGGGAGGACAACAGCCGGCTCCCTCCCTGCCTACAGGATCTCACACTTCATAGAGAAGCCAGTTACAGAGATACACTGCCACCAGCACAGCGCCGAGGTTCAAAAGCCCCTGACATCTTGAAAGAGGACCATGAGCGAAAGGAGGGAGAAGCAACATCTAACACAGGCGGCTGTGATGCCTGAAAACACCTGGCTTGAGCTTCCAAAGTAGGCCGCCCGAGCCCCTCACCTGTGCTGCTCATGCAGAGATCCCACCTTGGTCAGGAAGTCATCATTCTGATCTGGTATGAACTGGCTGTCCGCAAGGTAGCCCGGATGATGTATGGAAGGATTAAAGTCTCCAAAATGAGCTATTTGGGCAGAACAAGGGGAAAACTGTAGTTAGTTTTGCTTTTTTTTTTTTTTTTTTAAACACAGTCTGCAGTTATCAGCATCTATAGCACTGTAAGGAAAGCACTAATTGAAAATCCTCCTGGGCCAAGCTCTGCCAGTACCGGGCTGCAGCTTCTCCACTGAACCTTCATGAGGGGCTAAGTACTGTCACATAGGGCCAACCCATCTCCACACTCCCTGATGCCACAGAGCCTGGAAGATGGTGTTAGTACCCAGGTTCGATACCTCTGGAGAAGGGAAGAGAAAGTGCCAGGCATTGTACAGGTTCCATCATGCCTCAGTTACTGCGGTATCACACCAACTGGCCCTACAAACAACAGGTAGGGAGCTGGGTGCTGTGCTGTAGGCGTCTAACACCAGCGCTCTGGGAGGCTGAGGCAGGAGGGCTCTCAGCTCAAGGGCAGTGTGGGCAACTTAGCAAGACACTTTCTCAAAGTAAAATGAAAAAGGGGGGAGGGTGTAGCTTAGTGGCAGAGTACTTGTCTAGCATATGTGAAGTCCTAGATTGATAAACCAGCACTGAAAAAAAGAAGGAAAAATGGGGGTAGAAAGGAGATCAAGGGGTTGGAGAGATGGCTCAGTGGTCTAAAGCACCTACTTGAAACAAGCTTGGCAAAGCACAGGGACCGCGGTTCAATCCCCAGCACCACATGCCAGCCAGCCCCGCCCCCTGGTGGGCTGAGCTGGCACACACACACACACACACAATAAAAAAATCACACACAATAAATAAATGTAATAAATAAAAATAAATATTAAAAAAAAAAGTGTTAAAAAAAAAAAAAAAAGAAAGGAGATCAATGCCAATCTGACCCACAGCCTGACATGCAGGGAGGTGCACAAGAAAGGGGACTGGGATGTGTTCAGAGGTCAAAAGACAGGAGACAGATACTGCAGTTGTCAGGAGAATCGTTCAGGGGACCTGCAGATGCGGGAGGAAGAGGTACAGGGGTGCTATGGAAGGACTGCAACGGAAGGACTCCTCGACCAAGCTGTCCTCCTCCTTTGAGTCCCTTGATTTTTTCTTGTCTGGGAACATAAACTGTCCACCGACTGGTCCACCACATAGGGAGCTATTTCTTCCTTCCCTATGATGTAACAAGTACTCCCAAGCACTGTGCAGTGCCCAACTTGCACCTGTATTCCTGGTTGCCCCAAGAACTCCTCAGGTAATTTGTATGTTTAGATTACTATGGACACTGAGCAAAGAACTTGAGGCAGGACCTGGTGATATCATCTTCTCTTCTCCAAGAAACAGTTCTTCTATTTTTATAAAAATAAAAGTGAAAAGATCTTGACCTCTGAGGCATTCTTTTCTGTGGTGTGGGGAATTGAACCTGGGCCCCTTGTGTGCTAGTGAGTGCTCTTCCAACAGAGCTTCACGTACCTCCACCCCTTGAGCTCTGACGGGCAACTGATCTCATATTCTGTTTTCTGTGGTGTGGGGAATTGAACCTGGGCCCCTTGTGTGCTAGTGAGTGCTCTTCCAACAGAGCTTCACGTACCTCCACCCCTTGAGCTCTGACGGGCAACTGATCTCATATTCTGTTTTCCTGGCACACGAAAAGGGACTCTATTTTGACTTTTCTCAAAAATTTTAACCTTGATCTTTCCAAGGGTTTTATTCAATTTCTTCTTGTGGCTGGCTTCAATGCCAGGAGGCTTTTGAGGGCTCTCAGGATAATTTCAGAGCAGCAATTCAACACATTTCCAAATCACACAACTCCTCTGTTACCAGGACGGAGTGTGGAGAAAGCCCCAGTGATGCTCATGGCCGATCCCGGAAGGAAAGGGGGTGAGGAGCCAGGTGGCCGCTTAGGTGAACTACACCCCAGCAGAGCCAAAGGGGCAGGTGCCAGGGCTGCGTGTCCTTGTCCAAATCTACTCAGCCTCCTTTCCTTCGGCTTCTGACACACTGCTGGTCTTTTAAACCTACACCACATCAGAGGCAGCTGTTTCTTCCTATACTGTGTCTTGAGGGCACCCAATGTGGCACCCAGTAGAGGCTCAGGGACTCAGGTGTTCAGAACTGACCTTCAGAGAGGCTCACGGCCAAGCTCAGGTGAGAAGGGGAGACAGCAAGAAGCCCAGCGGTCTATATAGACTGTGTCCAGGTTAGGAGAATGGGAATGTTAAGGTCGCATGACAGTACAAGTGCGGCACATAAGTGTGTGTGTGATCACAACAGCACATGTACAAAGAATCACAGCGATGTCCCAACAAAGTACTCAAGAGAGTAACACATCAGAATCACTCTGTTTAAACTTCTTATGTCAAAGGGGAGGCAAGTAAGGTCCTAAGGAGAGAGGACCTACCCATAACCCAGGGCCTCCTTTTCCTCAGGGTCAAAGCCAGAGCTCCGTTAGTGCTCTACTGTTTCTACCATGCAAGCAAAGCTGCGAACAGCTGCTGGCCATTTGCTATGTCCCCAAAGACTTGAGCCTGAAGGCTGTTGGCTCATTAGCTCCTGAAGACCCTCTGGGATCCCAACTTGGCCATCCATCCTACTAGCAGTCAACCCTGGTGCCATTTTGCAAACATGAACTACAAGCTTCTGTCTTCAACAAAGTAAAAGTCTTCATAACCAATGAGTCTTTCTGTTAGCTGATTTTCCCTTGACATCTTAAGCAGCTCTTCCACACCAAGCTCTCCATGCTGACCACTAGGGGGAAACGAAGTTAAACCACCACACAAACGTGCAAAACACTGGACTGCTGGTACATTTATTTCTAGGGTGCCATTGTATTTGATGACTAAGATAACCCAGCAACGAGTAAGGCTTTTATCCACATTGAACAAATAAGAAAACTCAGAAGAAAAGGACCTGCCCTGCAGCTTAGCTGCTAACTGAGAACTCATTGAGCACAGGCTCTGCTCTTGTCTGCTTCCTTACATGATGTACCAGATTTCCCAGTAATACATTTTCCTAGTTTCTGGGAAGCAATACATGCAGATGTTAATTATAGCAGAAATAAGTAAGTGGGGCCAAAGTACCTCGAATATTAAGTTTCATGCTTTCTTTTGGCTGACAGATAATATTTGACATTCTGCAACAAAGTGGGAGTCTGTCCCAGGTTCTCAAAGTATGGCACTTTGAGCTATCATGCTGTTCTGTTGGGGCATCTTTTTATCTTTCATTCTTCCAACTCCAGCTTGATCTTAGAGGCCCTTATTGATGGTCATTCCTAGCTTTTCTAGATTCTCCCCATGTAGGCTGGAGCACATTCTCTGTGTTTTATATCAAGGGTCCCTGTATCCCCCACTAGCAGGTGTACAGTCCTTGGGGCGAACTGCAAGCTTTCTGCACGCTGAGGGCGGTGCAGAGCCTGCATGAAGCACAGGCTCCGGGAGCATTACGCAATATGGATACATCCCCCCAAGTTTTGGTCTCATAAGCTTTTGAGACAAAAACCATTAGCAACCTTCCACCATCGTGTCTTTCTGGGTACTTCAGCTACAGATCAGTTTATCTTTTATCTAATAAGAAAATGTACTTTTGACTAGCCGGTGGGACTTAAAAATATTAACACCCATCTCAGGACAAAGTTTATCAGATAAAATACAGGCATACTTTTTGAGTCAGTAGTTTTGTGTTTGAGAATTAATCTTGAACAGAATTCTATGCATGGAAGTATACAAGTGTATACATCCATTTACTGAGGGCAGGGGCTATAAAGAGTGGTACTTACAACAGCGGGCTTGGCAAGCCAGGACGGTGGCAGCATACCAATAATACTAAACTTCCACTACAGCCAGTTAGCATTTTAGGAGCATAGTTAGCTATTTTGTTAGCGATCTGCAGAGGAGATCTGACTATAGGAACTTGGACAGAACATTTTCAAATATGGTTCTTACATTTAACTCTGCTAAACACAGTTTATTATCCACAATAGGAAAACTTTAAAATAATAAAAAATTAGAAATGATACCGAACTTCAAAAAACAAGATAGGAATTCAACAGTGGTTGTTATAGTGCATATTGTTGTCTTCAAAGTAGTTGTTCAGATTACCAGACAAAAGCATGTAAATATAGTCCCCCTTCCTTCTTTCTTTTCTCCCTTCCACGCACAACTCTATGGAGTGCACAGTGCTAAGTCCCCACTTGGGAGGTGCAGACACTGAGCCCAAGGATGTGCAAGCGCAAGTGGAGGGGCAGAGACCCAGGTAACAGAGCTCCAGTCCATGTTCATATTGACTCAGTCAGGGATGGGCCAATGAAAATCAATTTTTAGTTATACATTGTGTTTACATTTGGTCAAGGTTAGGGTGTTACTTAATTTGAACCAAGTAGTCCTGTTGCAAGCTATCATATCCACCGCCGCCACCATTTTACAGGTTCCCAGAAGTAATGCCACAGAAACAGCCAATGGAGAAGACTGTTTAAACCAAGTGTGTGGACCGGCCAAATAGCTCAGCAGATTAAAGCACCTGCAAGCAGGTGCAAGGGCTGGGGGTTGGATTCCCAGGCCTGCCATTCTACCCCAAACCTGGGGTGTGTGGAGCAGGCATGCACCTGTAATCTCAGCTCTTGGGAGTCTGATCTAGTAGTGAGACCCTAAACACCCTGTAGACCCTTTCCCTAAGATACAAAAAAAAAGCCAACCAAAGACAAAAAAACCCAGTGTGACTATCCTTTCGGTACAGCTCCTGCCTCCAAACCCAAATCTCCAGCTATGACCACACAACTTGCTCTGTGATCTGGAAAAGGTCAGTTTTCAGCTGATCCACCAGATAGAGGCTGATCTGCAAGGTCTGGAGTACCACAAAGTACAGACTGACTGGTGACTATGCCATTTTCCACATGACGGGAACATGATCAGGTCTGTTCCATATGTATAGGGAAATGGAAACTTACTCTTTAAAAAAAAAAAAAATTCCTTTTTTTTTTTTTGGTACAGGGTCTTGCTCTGCAGCTTGGACTCATAGTAATCCTCCTGTCTCAGCCTCCCCAGGGCTGGGCCAGCATGGCATGTGGTACTGGGGAGAAAACTCAGGACCTTGTGCTTACCAGGCAGGCGTTCAGGCTGTTGAGCTATCTCTCCAGCCCAGGAAATGGGAACTTTCAAACCCAAGCAGACCACACTGGGATATCCGAGTTTCCCACTGCAGAGGCTAAAACGCACATGAGATGGAGACTGGCACGGGGTTCTGCTACACAGGCTTGCTGTGCAGTCCGCACTCACTCCTAACAACCTCCTCCTCCCACTCCAGGGCCCACACAGGTAGGCAGGCGAGCTTAGGTCCTGCTATGGGCTCTTCTTATTTTTGTCCTCTGCTGCCAAGGAAGGAGGGAGCCTCGGAGCCACCTCAGTGAAGCCCAACACCCCTCTTTTGCTATTCACTTCTTATGAAGCCAGACGAGGGCAAGTGTTCTGGCCAGCATTTGCCCCACTACTTTGGGCTTATGGGAAGGCACCACGGATTACTCCAAGTTTCAAGCTACGGCAGTTATTCAGTGCTGACTTACTAGTATCACACAGCTAACGATGAAATGATGTTCTGCTTGCCTTCCATCAGTCTACGTACTCTTTTAGGGTTAGTAAATCCTTTGTACTATGCGCAATCACCATCTACCACAGGGCCTGATATGGAATATATAAAGTTTAGCTGGCTGAACAAGTAAATTTCAACTCTAGCTCAACCTACCCCCAAAGGAAAATCCTATCTGGACTTCCCATCCAAAGTGGTAGCCACTAGCCAGATGTGGCCATTCCAAATACAAGTGTGTGCTACGTGTGAAATCCTGACTGGTTTTCAAAGACTCAGCATGAAAGCAAATGTTAAATATTTCATTAATACTTTTTACATTAATTATATATTAAAATAGCATTTTGGATACACTGAGCTAAACAAATCATTAAAAATTAATCTTACCTACTTCATTTTCCTTCTTTAATGCAGTTACCAGAAAACAGAACTACATATGCAGCTCTCACGTTACATTTCTATCGGGTAGTGCTGTTAATAGGACAGCATATAATCCATTAGTTATAGTGAAATTCTAAAAATAAATTCATAAGATCTCAGGAGTGTTTTAGGCATGCACCAAGCAGTAGGAATGACTTCCAGCAAATTCTTTAACCTAGCTGGGTCTCAGTTTCCATGTTTATAAGAGGTGACCAGTATAAATATTGTCCCACTGGAGTTTGTATGGAGATCAAATCCAAATATCTGGGCAGAGGCTCTGGAAAATGCCACGTGAGATGGCTGCCTACTGTTTTATAGTCTCCCTCAGGAGAGACTGCCACAGCGGTGTTCATTCACTCCTGTTACCTGCACCCCTTTAATTAACCTAACAGCCCCAAATTAGAAGAGAGAAAATCAGAGCAAAAGTGGGGCCACCTAGGCAGCCAGAGAAGTGCTGCCCCCACAGGATGGATGCCTGGGAAGGAGAGACTCGGTCAGTGGAAAGGTCAGTGGCTTGCTCAATACCTTGTCAGAGTCATCTGTGCACCCAGGACAACACTCCCTTTGGGACTTACATTGTACTGCATAGGAAGCCAGCACCACTGCTGAATTCAGGGGGCAGGTTAACCTGTCATGAGAAACACACATTAGCGAAGTCTCAAGAGCCAGCAAGAACCCAAATGCCTGCAGATCACAGGTAGCACGGTCTCGCTTTTCTTGGCAACCGTTAAAGAACAACATGACATGTAAGAAAAACTACTTTATGATGCTAATCAATCTTAAATCATAAAGCAAACATAACACAATAAAGATCTTTTAAAAATAACATCTTTGTATCTAAAGTAATATCCACCCCAAATACCATGAAGCTAAGGGTCTAACATTGGCCAGTATTTCACTGGCCAAGAAAGGCAGGCCCACACCTCTGACAGGAAGAAAGCCAGACTCTTACATCAAAGCAGCCTTCAAATCCTTCCGGAAAGACCTGAGACTATGCAGGGCTCTCCGCATTCCTGAGTCCTAAGGACTTGGTGACTCTCAATTACCCCCTTTCTGGACTAGTGATACCCTCTTCAAAAGGAAAAGTAGGAAAGTATCTTGAATTTTAACACTCAATTCCTTACTTGACTGTCACTACTTAAACATTCATATGTTTTGAGCTTCCTGAGGATCTGTAGACTTCAACCATCTGTCTGCCCCTCTCAAGCTTCTACCATCTACCACAAATCCAGAGTTGGGATTTTTCCAGAGTGGACTTTTCTAAACTGTCCTCTCATGTGCTCCATTTCTCCCAGTGACTCCCCCTGTCTTAGCCATGTTTCCGGTGCTCTCAATGTTACCCTTTCTCCCCTCAACCTTGACTTCATGCTCTTCCCAAGGGCTCTGCAAGCGGTGAAGGAGTAGGGATCCCTGCTGGGGAGAAGAATGCGCTGGGAAGCCTGGGAGATTAAGCGCCTAAAAGTACTTTCCCAGAATTCAGTTCAGAAGTAAAAATAATAATAATAATAATAAAAATTTTAAAAAGCTGTTTCCATGGCAGCCCATGGAGTTCCCAGGATGACCTGACTCCCTCTTTAATTTGGCTGTCCTTTCAGAGCTCCTCTTCCTGTCCATCACTGTGCGTCTATCCTAAAGCTGCATGTGAAGACAGCATCTCTAGAGGGATCCCATTTCCCCTCAAGAAACTATTCTCACTGGAACTTGTGAATGTTTCTCCAGGTCTACAGAGGCATCTCAGGGATGCAGGTCACTTATTCACCTGGAGATCACAGAGGAGAACTGGCAGAAATCTGATGTGTACCAGGTATTTGGTCTTCTACAAGATGGCTTCAATGGCATCTAGCCAGTGTCCCCGCCAGAGGAACAGCAGGTGAAGGCGATTTGGGGGACACCTTAGAAAGAGGCTAAGGAGACTGAGTCTAGACGGAAGGAACAATCCTACAAAGTCCGAAAGAAAAACATTCCCAAAGAATGATGTTCAAAATACATACTACAGAACACCAGAAGCCCGCCTTCTCCTTCCGCTTTCCACATATCCCTAGAGAGGGTTCTCTCTCTCCAGCCTTCAGGGTTCCCATGAGCTGAGTGAAGGCTGGGCCTGGACTACTCATCTGGGCAGGCAGGATACCAGGGATGGTTCAAACAAGCCGGGGGACTCAACATCCTGGAGAAATGCTGTATTCCAATAAGCCTGTCCAAACAGCCTTGGCCACAAATGGCCTGATACACACCCGAAAGTGTTTGGTGAAGAAAATGTTCTCCTCAGAGAGGTGGCAAGGGACACCTGCAGACCTGATGAAAGGCTCTCAAAATACTCTGTTGATTCACAGACAACCAGTTCCCCTACATGGAGAGAGGGCATGGAAGTGAGAGCTCCTGAGCAGTTTGTCTTACTAGACCAGCAGAGCTCAGGGCTTTGCCATTAACAGTTATTTGAAAAATATTTGCAGAAAAAAAAAGGTGTGTAGAAAATAGGGACAGAACAAGTCTCTATGGCTATAGAGGGCAGCCAGGAGCCAGGGTGGGGAATTCAACCTAGAGCCACCTAAAATGCAGGAAGGCCACCTCATTGCAGAAGGAGCTCCTCAGCTCTGGGAAGAGCTGAGCAGACGCTCAAAGGCTGAATGTGGGAGTGGCAACCGCAGATACCACAGGCCTTCAGGAGCTCCTTCTGCAGGTATGTGCTGGTCTGTGGATCACTGCAATAAACCAGAATTAGGGATGGCAGGAAATAAGGTGCTAGAGCTCCTGCGGTAGAAAAGAGATAATACTCATGAAGAGCGAATCTAGGCTAGCTAGGATGAGGATTCTACAATCCTCCAACTGCTAAGAGCCAAGAGGCCTGGCAATCCTGTCTCTGTGAGGAGAATGTTCTTTCTCCTCCTCAACCTGCTCCTTAAATCTCCTCTACTGTGTTCCCAAGTATCAGCCTGCATGTCTGCACTGCTCCTTCCAGGGCTGTTTATGCCCTTCAACCTCGACCAAAGCCCCAGTTTTCCTTTGTGTACTCTGACATCATCTCTGTAAATGTGGTCTTGCTATATTCTTTTTGCTTTTAAAAATTTCAGGCACTCAGTCTGTCTGGTGGATGTAAAATGTGCCTGCATTGAACACTAAAGCCCTTGCTCATTTTCCTGCAAGCCACAGAAATGTGGTTATCAGCTGCTTCTGTATGACGGGGTGTGTGTGTGGGTGGGTGTGTGTGTGTACGCACACACACCCACCCACACACCCACACACACCCACACGTGGAAGAGGGCAGTTATGTCTTCTAACTGCCCTGGGAAATCCAATTCTTCTCCTCTCTACCATCTCCACTGCTGGCCTCTTAATAGCAACCCAGAGAGGCTTTTCCCACCCACAGCAGCAGAAGCAAAGCTGATATCCTACCGTGACTGTGGTCTCCAGTGCCCACGTTGGGCCTAATTGCTTCTGGCTTCCTGTCTCATTTCCCAAGCAGACTGCCAGCTCCCGCATGATATACAGCGCGCTGGTAGTCTCTGATGACCCTCTTCAGAACAGACTAACGGGAGGCGCGGGGGGGGGGGGGGGGGGGGGGGGAGAGGG